CCCCCCCCCCCCCCAAACAAAAATAAAACATCTTTAAAGGAGATCTTTGTAAAACTGTGATTGCACAGCAAATTGTTACAATAACACCAGATACTGTGGGAAAGCAGGATTGCCAGCAGCTACATTATGCCAGTGACCAGTGCATACAGCAAAATGAAAGGCGTCGAAGACTTGTGCGCTTTATAAATCGAGAAAGGTCAGAGAAAGGACAAGTGAAGACTGAAGCGAAAGAGTGCTGTGCATTTACTACAAATATAGAAAAGACTGATCAATCGGCAAACATTTGATTACCTAATTGACATTTTGACTTAGAAAAACCATCACCGTGTTCCATTAACATTTCTACCTCCTGAACCGCTCTGTCTCCTTTTTAATTACCCAGAAGTTTGATTTTGTGCACTGAAGCGTCCAGTGAAGAACACCATTAATTCCTAATCAATCTCTCTTCTTCCCTGAACTTTAAAAGCCTAATAGAGCAGCCAGGTGAAATTGCACTCATCACTGCTGAGCACAACAACATAATGGTGGCATTACCTATTGATATTGGACACTCTTATACGCTAAGCAAGGCCAGGGTTAAGGAAAACTCAAGATGTCTTGCAAATAACCATTTCACCGATGTACTTCTTAACAGATTTCAAAATGAAGGTGTGTCACGGCCCAGTGGGACTAGTTTAATATTCCCCAAAGGGGCAATACATGCTAATGAAAGGGTAGTTACTCACTTGGGCAAAGCAAAAAAAAAAGATGGAAAAAATGCAAACCAACCACAGATCATCTTCAAGATGTTACATGTTCTTCCAAACATTTTACATCTAAATCCAGTTAAGGATGATAATACCACAGAATATTAAAAGAGGCAACGATCCATTTCAGGGGGAAAAACGCCTCTTAAGCTGTTTAAATCAGAGACATAACAAGGACCTAGAAAACCCACTCCAAACAACTATGACACCAAAGGAGAAGAAAGGCCGGCTCTGGACAGAAATCACCAGTTTTGCTTATCATGTCCCACTTAAATCACTCAATCATAAAAAAAATCAAACCAACTGGATGGGAGAGGAGGAGTTTACAAGGACAAGACTCTCGTGTGGATGTTGTGACTTACTCATCCCCGTAAAGTTGGTGACTGTATTCTGGGTGGAAAGTTGTGCCCTCATCTTCCAAGTCTTCTGGAAAGCGTGCTGTGGGACGGCAGGAGAGGGCTGCAATCAGTGGGGCTGCACTACAGAGCACCGTGTCAAAGCAAGCAACAACATGAAGCACTGCCATTTTCAAAACAAACAGAACTTCGTCTAAAAGGCCGTTTAAATATTGCTCGCCATGCTTTCCACATAGCTTCCTCATTTTACGATTGTGCAGGGATATGGTCATAAGAAAAGGAGAGCTTGCTTGCTGAAGACTTCACAGCCTGCTTCATTCTTGAACTGCAATTACGCTCAAAGAGTCTTTTTTTTCAGATGTAATTATTTTAAATTGTTTAAATACTGAAATAAGTGAAGAAATGTGCTGTGAAACATTTGTTCATTTTTCAAATTAGACATTTCCATTTACAAAACAATATATGGGATGGAGTAACAGACGCACCTAGCTTCAGACAAATAGCTTGGTTGGTATCACATTTGTACTCTGCCAGCTTCTTCTCCATAGCATTTATTCCTAGAAAGCAAAGTATTATTAATTAAACGTCACATCTTTAGAAACTTTAAAATGTTACTTCAGTCATGTCACGCTGATTTGAGAAACATTTAAGCACTCACAAGTAAATGCATAAAGACAGGAAGAAAAGATTAATGAAAGCTACTTTGATTTGGAACGCGTTTAATAATAAATTATGATTGATTTTTAAAACAAGGAACTGCGCTTTATTTTATTTTTTTCTGAGACATTAACGTGCCGTTATACAGCTCTCTCTGCTGTTACAGCTCATCCTCATCAATACTTCACGTAACATCACACTGCTTTTCTGAAAATGACTGAAAACCTAGACAAGTTACGATGAGGTGCACACTCCCAGCGCAGCAATTGATATTTCGCTGCTCTAATAGAGCGTCTCGTATTCTAATTGCAATTAATTACAAGCATTTCTAATTCAAATAGGTGTTTTGCCCAACACAATGACACTCCGACGTTCAAATCGGATATAAACTGCAGTAACACCTAAAAGGAAGGGAATCTTTACATTATAATGAAGTGACACCGTGTTAATTATTTTACTTAAAGATAAGTTCGTGTGTTGTTTTCCCATACAGTGGAAGCTTTGTTTTCTGTTTAATCCGCCCTATACTGCTGCTACACACTGGTACACAAGTTCACTTAATCAATCCTGATGTACCCACACCATTAAGTGATATCGTCTTTACATGCGCACACTGCCTCGCTTGTGCTTATAAAGCTAATCAACACCTTTGTCACAGAAGACCTGTTTTTATTAATTATAAAACTTACCCGCCATTTCGGAACACTGCAGTAGGAGAAACGTAATAGACCCGCGCATAGCACGTTACTTCCTATTTACCCACGTGCTTCCGCTAGCCTGTGTATAGAGGGGTTCGGTTTGTAGTTGTGTGCTGGTGGATATTTTTTCCGCTTTTAAAGTTACATTTGTGCTACAAATATTACAGCATTTGAATGTGTACGCTCAAGTCAAAATTCTGGGATAGTAACATACAAGGAGAGGATAAACAATATAAACGTACAGTTATGTCAAAATGCAGAAACTCTGGAACTGCAATTTTCCCCTTTAAGCAATTTTTGCTACACACGGCATGCAGTTTGTCAAACGACTTCCGTTTATTGCCTATACACTGTTGGTAACATCCCAGAGGATTTTAAAGAGCAATATTGGTAGCAAGTCAGTTCAATTGTCATAGAATATATAATTATTCTATTCTGGTATATTGAAACATTGATTGTTTAATTCTTCAATATTGAAAGGGAATTTAATAGGGGGAAAAAACGGTGTGTAATGTATCTGTGAGCAAGCTGAAAAAGAATCCGTGATGTTCCGATCTTTTCTGTAATCCCCAAAGAGACGGATGTGCAGTATACAGTAGACTATTGTTTGCCAATGTGTAAAAGTTCAGTTTTTGTTAAAGTATTTTTAGGACATTTTTTAGGATGTAAGGTTCATGGTGTATGTTACTTGAAAATAATTTATTAATAAAGTTAAAAACAACTTAAATGACTGCATGATTGGAAAACTCATAAGAATAAACTGAACCAATCCACCTTCCTTTCCCAAAGTGTTTTCAGTTACAGTATATCATTCAAATATTCTTGCCTGACCCTTGCACATGTTAACAGTGCCTTGTCTTGTTGTATTTACTTTTTATCGATTCTTCTATCACTTCTTTGTCTTCTGTGCAGTATTTGTGTGAGCTTCCTGGCCAGGTCATCTTTGAAAATGAGAATTTGTTCTCGACTGACTTATTCTATTAGTAAACTAGTCAAGTTTGTAGAATATATCAAAATATAATTACAAACTGCATAGTAGCAGCAATGAGAATTGCTGTATTGATCCAGGGATCTTGTTTTAGATCAAATGTAATGACCTGACAGCTGATGGCTTAATGTAGTCAAGTGCAGTTTATTACATCCAGGAGACAAAAAATATGAACTGTAGATATTAGATGGCAAACACAGAGCTTCAGGAAGCTATAAAAACTGTTTATGTTCATATCTCATCTGTTTTTCTTTTGCTCACTGTGTTACAAATGATATTTAATCTCTGGGATCATTCAGCATTAAAAAGGGCAAACAGAATGTTAGGAAGTATAGTTAAAAGGCACCTGGAGAAGGCTCCACGGCCGAAACGTTGTGTTTTCTTTCTTCTCTTTTCAGCATGGAATAAACCTATTACTTGTTCTGTTAAAAGGCAATGCAATATTTGGTGTTAAGAGTAACTGAGGTACAGTAAATAGACAGTAAAACACATGACATGGTTTATTTAGAATATTAAAAGCATACATAAGCCAATGGTAGAATAGAAACATACAGTAGTACCTAATTAGAGCTTCCACCACAAGTTTTAATACACTTGTCAAATACACCTATGACTGTAATCATTTTTCTACATTTATTTGAGCGTAGAGAAAACTTAACGTCATATTGATATGTAACCCCAAGAACAAGAACAAAGATGATGGTAGTAGTGGTGAGAGTTGGGGAAGTTTTCTCTAAGATCAATATACTCAAACACTATACATTACTGAGAAAGGCATTATAGGGTTGGAAAGAAAAAACATTTTAAAATGCTTTTAATTTGCCCATTCAGACAGAGGCAAACTGCCAAAACACCCTCAAAGAGAACATTGGAATTAATACTTCTGTGTCACTAAGAATCTTGACAGGTAACCTTTTTGGTGATCGATCAGTGACAGTTGTCAAGTGTTACTCACTGGTGATATTTACTGTTTAGAACTGTCTTATCACACTACAGGTGTTTTACAATTATTTAGTGAAGCCTGGCTGGATATACCCTGAACTAATGAAGCATTATATTGCCAATGCATTACTAACCCTGCGGAAGCAGTAGCTGAAATCACAGTAATTTGGTGTTGTCATTTTTGCAAACTGTCACTTGTGTAACAATCAATGCTGTCACGGAAAGTGTTGGTTTCTGCCTCTTGTCTATATTAAATGTAATATCTTGACATTTTGTTGTTTTAATCTGCATTTTTTCTCCCACTGGTAATTCACAATTTGGGTATTTTAGGCTCAACAACAGGTCAGCTACTAAATGAGACTATAGAAGAACAGACTCCTTATTTACTGTATAAAGATGAATATCGCCCCTGGCTTGAGCTAAGGAGCAACAGTATTTTTGTGACATTTTTAGGGCAAATTTTTGACATACTTTTGTACACAACCGCACTGCTGTCACCGATTTTGGCTGGTAATAAGAAACCACTATTATTAAAACTGAGTAAATTGGACATGTTCAACCTATAAACAAAGACAAAATTATGAAGATGAAAATTAGGAAAAAAGAAGACCATTTTAAGGTTCAGGGAAAAAAAATCTCAGCAGCAGATTAATTTTAAACACCCAGCACTTACAGCTGCCAGGCAATAGATTATTCTGCTGGCTAGAATTAGTCAGAGCAGGGAGAGTCTACGTACAGGTATTTTATGTTAGAAAATCTGGAATGAAAAAATGTTGAAAAGAAATCAGGATATTTATCCAAAAGTAGCAGTTTGTGTATACTAACCTAACAAGTAAAAAAGCATTTTTAGAGACAAATCACTGAATGTGTATTGTAGACACTCAATTGTATTGAATAATTGTATCAGACACATAATTGCTATGCTATCTGTCTGTGATTCAGGGTAATACACAGGTTCACTTTTTAAACAGCAATAAAAACATGCAGCCTGTGCTTAAGGGACAAGTGTTAGTCAGATTTTCTCATGTAAATAACCATTTATACTGTTTACATTCAGTGGGTCTTGCCTTCCTTTTCCAGTGACATTCTGTTTGATTTTTTTTAATGTCTGGTTTATTTCTGCACTTTTGGAATTCAGGGTGAGCAGTAATTTATTGTAGACAGAGAACATTTTTCAAAGACCGCAATAATAACACAGCACTTGCATTCATGCCTTGTTATTGCAAATCATATTTTATTTTTTGCCCAGTTTTAGAATGAATGTTTTGTTAGTAGAACGTTGAATTTGCCCTTTGTTACTCCAATTTCTAACACATGTAATGCAAAGCATTATATTAGCGGAATAAACAGAATTAAAAAACTCGGATGTTTATGCCATTAGAATTATTGGATAACAATCTAATTACAGATTGCACATTATTATGTTTATTATGTGGAAACACATATAAAAAAATATTACCAAAAGGCAAGTGTGGAATTTGTCCCAAAATGAAAAGTCAAAAAGCATGTTAAAAAAAACAGTTTGGGCAAATTGTAAGTCAAGAGAAAGTATGAAATTAATGCAGAATGTTTCTTAAATAGTGTCTTGGATTAGGACAGAAGTCAGCTGGAGCTGATTAATAAAAAAGTAACATAACATTATTTATATTTTGCAGATAAAATATTGAGAACCCTGCCTTCATTGAACATTTTATTTCTTTTTCCAAGGGCCTCCATCATATGGATGTGTGATAACCATCTTCTTTACTTCTTTTTGCAGTTTACCGCAGTAACTTCCAACAAAGAGTAACAATTAGTGAGGGCGATCAATATCACCATATCACCTTTTGCAAAGCTATTAAAAGCTTGCCACAAATCCTCTTGAACACTGGGACTACTGAGAAGGAGGGATATGGAATTAGAAACTCTCATAAATGAAAAAGATGAAAAAGTTTAAAAAGTAATTTTGATATCAACCACATTTTGATCAAACCAATATAATGTTTGTTTCTTTTCATGTAAAACATTTTTATTCTGAAGAATTACTGGACACTTGAATTATATGCCTTTCTGTTAGAAATGGTCTTTGCTTTTCTCTGCTCGTGTTCAGGTTCAACTATTAATCATTGCCATGGACCATTTAAAATCAAGGCAGCCTTCCAAAAATAACTGCAAAACACCATTACATCATAATGTAGGTCAGACAGGTGAACTTTGGTTATACTACAGATCAGGGATATTACTGTTGTTATCTCAGAAAAGATAACAAGGTAACTGTGACACATGGGGTATTCCCATGAGCATGGCACACTTTCAAATAATCTGCTGTCAAACACAAAAGAGACCCTTTACGGCCTATTAGCTCACTTCAGTGCAGTGCTGAATAAAGCGTTTAATCTTTAAAAAATGCTTCAAAATTGTGGATTACAGCAGAGTGAAAGCTCAATAAAAATAAATGACTGTGTTGGATTTGACTGCCCATACAGGACTCTATGAACTGTGGTAATGCTGTGTTATTATCTTTGCTATATCTTTGCTATTTCCCGGGAGATGCGCCTACTGTATGTATGACTTACACAACAGTCTAACTCATGATAATTTTACTTCTGCCATTGCTACAACACTAGATTATCCCTCTCCTATGTACAATACCTTGTGATCTCTCACAGTGTTTCTCGGTACATTGACAGTGAGAAAGGCGACACACAGTTTGATCTCTGAACTCTCAAAGTGTTGCTAAAGCTACAGTTCTTTTGGTAAATCAATCATCTGATTTTTGTCAACATTCTAAACAACAGTAACATATTTATACTGATTAAAGAAATCCAGGATGTTGTAGGGAAACAGAAAGGGTGGCAATATTTTATAAATGCTACTCTCCAGGTTCCAAGCTGATTTATATGCAGTCTATATCAATAACATTTTTGGCTTTCATTGATCCGCTACTGAATTAAACCCTCCCATGATTCTTTCACATCTCCTGCTGATAGATGCATGCATTTTAATTACCATTACATAAGATTTTAAATAGTTGAATGAAGTGTTGAATACTGTCTCCCCAGCTCAATAATTCTTTGCTCTGACATTTTGTAATTGTCCTACTATGACTCGGAGCAATCCATATTTGAGTTTTAAATACAAAACTCCATTGACAGAAATCTCACTTTTGTAAGGTTTATGAGTTTAAACACTCGATTTGGATTTTACAAGATGATTTTACAACAAAAGGTGAGAAATTAGTTGGAGAAATTGGGGAAGAGATGTTATGAATGAAAGGCTATAAACTAACAGAACGCTAACACTGTGTTATCTTAGGCTTCTGGTAACAAAACACAGCAGATCCAACCTTTTCCTATTGTACAGAACACAGGGGTTTCCCCCTTAAACAGACAATTGCAAAACCAAGCAAACTCTCTCTTTCGTCTAGAAAGATTTGATAGAATCAATGAACAGATCACCCAAAGTAAACGGGAAACCTTTAATAACATTTTACCCTGTTTTCTTTGGCATACTTATTTAATTTGCTTTGTTTCGTGTTAGGAAGGGCGTAAGAACCGATATGGAAAACGGTACTATATCTGCCCAAGAAAACAGTAAAACGATAAGCAAGAACAAAATTTGTCGAATAAAAAGGGGGTTCATTTACTGTATGTCATAAACCGTCTTATACAGTTTTTTAATCTCTGCAGAAAACATATACATGGAATATACATATACATGTTATATACATGGATTGATGTATGCATTTAAATTGCAACTTGTAACAAGGGAACATTACTCTGTTACATTGTCACAAATCCTGAATGCTTAATCAATTTAGAAAATTTTTAAATTGAGCTTTTTGACTAAACGATTTTCATTGCTTTTCTTGACACCTGTGGAAACGAAAGTATTGCTTTGAAAGCCTTTTTTAGGAGTTTGTAAGGTTATTTCCTTATGAAGGATAAAGAGGCGTTTGTTCCGGTCTTAACCTGAGGCATGCGTGAGGTTTTGAATAACGTTAGGTTTCACTTTTCCATGATACTTAACATACTGCTAACTGATAACCACACCTGAAGGCTCCACAGCCGAAACGTTGCGTTTCCTTTCTTTAATTTCCAGCATAGAATAAACCCATCACCTGTTGCTTTGCAGCCTACACATGCTGACGCAGCTACCTACTTGAACTACTATAATGCTAACTGTACTTGTATTCAAATTGGTATTGATAATAATTATTGTAAAGTCTTTCGATCGTGCTTTTTTTTTGTGAACACACCATTACCTTCCTAATTTATTGGATTCAAATAATTGGTTGAGCAATCTCCCGCGTGTAGCCACATGCCCTTGCAACATTCCTCGTCTTGAGGGCATTTGGAGAAAAGAAATGCAGTCTGCGTTTATCTTTCGAGTACAAGCAGGGTGGAATGCTGTTATTAATGCACGGCTGGAAAAAATAAACGAGAGATGCCATGCGGCTTTCTAGTCTGACCTACAGGAACTTCCTGACGAGTAAAGCGGCAACGGCAATAACCGAGGGCTCATTGAGCGTCTCAACCAATTTATTCCCACGCTTCTAGGGGGCTCACAGAGCACGGAGGAGCGCCTGCGCGAGTTGCCGTGACGTCACACCCAGCATGGCGGTCAAGGTGACTCTGGCTACTACATTTCACTTCTTGTACATTTTTAATGCTTTTGTTATGGGTTTTACTTTCTGGTATTGTAATATGTGTCATGTTAGAATACATACGCGCATTTAGTGTCATTTTTAATTGCAAAAAGGAATCACTGTAGGCAGGGATGTGAGCATCTCAGCACCTACGTTCGGCCTCTCGTTTGGCCTTGGAATAAGCATTATGTTTATTTTTCGCAGAGTTGCCTTGGTACATCACCTAGTTAATCAGTTATATAGCGGTGTACTGTGATTTTTATAATTCCGACTGCATTGAGAATTGTGCCAAGAGCGATAAGGTGTTTCGTTGAAATGCTGTGTACTGTGGAGCCTAGGGCTTGATGCTAAAGAGTTTGTATCGCAGCTACGGTCTTGCTGTTTCAGGCTTAACGAAAACAGACTTGTTCAGTTTTTTGTTTTTTCACGTATGATCAGATATGAGCAATTTTAGTGATAATTAGCAGACTCAACAGGGCATTTTCAGCTTTAAAACGTGCGGATCTGAAACGGTTTGGGTTGAGAAAACTAGTCGCAAGCTCAAGGATTGTTTAATAAGCAATTTTATCAGCAATATCTGTTCATGTACTAGGTCATGCATCAGAAATGTAATGTAGCAGGTAGGTGTGTATCTGAAAATACCGTACCAAATGAATTCCCTTTCATAAAAAGAGATGTCAGTGCAGATGTAGTTGCGTAATGTTACTTTGAAATTGCTTGAATAGGGATATCCGCTTAGTTGCTTTAGGAAATTTCAGTCTTAACAAAGACGTTAGTTAGTTTGCAGTGCATAGCTTCTGATTTTTGTAATTTCAGTGCAAAGCCTCTTGAATCGCGAGTTTAATTTTTGCCTGAAAATCTTTTTTTTCCAGGTGCAATCCACTAAAAGGGCTGACCCTAATGAACTGAAGGGTATATTTTTAAAGGTAAGTCTGTCCATAGTCGGTGCTCTCTTGTCTTTTATATTTAGTGGAAATTGACTGACATTTCAGTGTTGTGAAACATTTTTCGTGACAGTTTTTATTTTTTGTCATGCCCTTATACTGTTTCCTTTGTCCTTGCTGTAACCTTAAAAGCAAACAGAAGTCTTTCCCCTGTGGTGGAGTGATAAACAAGGAAGTTCGATTGTTGTGAAAGGACGTTGTATAAGGAAAAGGTGAATGTGACAGACGTTTTCTTGCTAAATAAAAGTGATATCCATTTTGCATTATTTGCTAGTAGTTTTCCTTTTATTGCTCTTGGTTCAGCATTTGTCTTTGGTTGGCATCTGTGTACTGTAGCGTTTCAACGCCCCGAATTATCTGAGGCTCTTCCTTTATACAGTCCATTTTGATTTTTGACAAAGTTGGGGCTCCCTTTTAAAAGTTAATATGTTGAAACACATTGCTTTCACAGAGGAGTGCTGTCCTCTTTTTCCCCTATCGGTCAAAAGGCCCAAAGGCTATTGTTTACTACTAGTTTGACATGCTACTCGTGCTTCCCACGAATTGAGAGACCATGTGGCCCTTCCTGCTCCCTAGTCACCAAAATGATGGATGTAATGCACGGTACAAGCTAATACAGGTTGTGCAGCAGAAATGTTCCACTGTGATCTGCATAACAAGTAAGTAATATTTGTCGCCAAAACCATCTCAAAGTCAAGAGCACTATTTCTATTGGGTTAAAAGCATGCATCAGCCTGCTTCTTTTCTGTGTAATAAGGACACTACATGTCACAGAGGTTTTGTTGCCTCATTCTGAATCTTAGAACATGGTGCTGCACATACCTGGAAATTTTGTCTATGTTGTGATGTAAATCGGGGGTTTTACAAGTTACTGTGTACGTTTGACTTTTATCGTGTTTTGAAATGCACTCATCCATGCGGATTCTTTCTAACCCTAAATATGAAAAAAAGTGTTGCAGCTCCCCTTTAATTGCTCAAGGGCAGGTGTTTCATACCGCCGAGAGCTGGTGTTTTTCTTTATTTTATGGAGTCGTCTGCGTCATCTCCTCCCACTTGAGGCCCGCTTGTCTGCTGTCATTCTTCATGGTTCGTTTTTGACTTCAGCTCTGTGTGTTTTGTTTTGCCTCTTTCTGGTGCGCCTGTGCGTTTTCCTAACCTTCAGACAGAAGGGAGCTTGGATCTCTGAATGCTTCACTGCTTTAGTTTGACTCTGGGAAGGGGTATAGAACTTCTGTGTGGTATTGCAAGCTTGAGTTCTGTCAAGGTTGACAAAGGTCACGCTTTGGCATATACAGTTCCCCACTAGTGTAGAGAATTGGCACCTTACCATCTCCAGCAGCGTTATCGACTAACTAATTAAGTGCATTAAATATGACTAGATCAGTGACAATTCTCAAGTTACTATTTAGCTTAAGGCCTGAGGCCTTCTGCTGATGGGTCTTGTAGCCAGAAAAAAAAATCTTAAAAGATTAAGTGGAAGCTGGGGGTGTCTTTAGATCTGCTCTTTTTTTGTGAAAGTTCTTCTTTTCTATTTTTTATTGTTTTGAATAAATGTTTAACTTATCTGACCAAAGTGCTTGTTATTGGTTTGTTGAGCTCTTATTCATAGCTTTAGGACATGCAAACCTGTTTACCTACACAGAAGTCTGGCATTGTAGAAATAAGCATTCAAAACCAGTTTTAATTTCCAGCTTCCACTTTCTGGATCAAGTTTAGCAAACATTGAAGAGTTAATCGGATAAGTATATTTTTAGAACCTGTTTTGATTACAATAAATTATTTTGTTACGTTTCCACTGCTACAAAGCAACAATTATAAGACAACGCCAGATGCTTGATATTTCGGGCCTTTGCCTTTTTTTAAATGGATTTCAGTGGGGTTTTTTTCCCTGCTTCTGTCCAAAGATGCTAGCAAAACCTGAAACGTACCAGGCTGCTATGCAACAGGATCTCTATCTGTGACGCTTAACTCTCCATCTCTCAGTTCTCTTGTTTATCAAGTTGGCCTTTTTTATTTGCCTTAGCTCACTTCTGCAATGATATTTTTGGTGACCTTTACGTACACTTTCTTACTGAAGCTGTTGAATACAAGGACAAGTTGAGAAGGAGGTGAAGGAATACCTCTTATTTTAAATAGTAGGCAGCAGTGTTAGAGCACAGTTCTAATTTTGTGTTGTGTAAAACTACTTCCTAAACTGTTGACAAAATATGTTTGTCTTCAGGCATACACTTTAGAATGTGTGAGCCAATTTAAATCCAAATTCCTTAAAACAATTTACTGTTCTATAATCCTTTTGTTCATGCATTGTAGAGGGAAGGGACTAGAACAAGTTGTGGTTGAAAGAAAATGTCCCATCTGTGCGACACAGGGTAGCGACTTGCACTGCAAAGTCCAGGTAGAAGCATTTGATCATTTAAAGACCAGGACAAGAAATGGAGATGGCCGTGCATTGAAGATGGTTTAACAGTTTAACCTACACCTAGAATGCATAGTCCCCTCTAATGAGATACCGGGGAAGGCTGTTACTGTAAGTTGGTCCAAGAGTGTGTGGAGGTGACTAGATTTAGTACCGATCTACTATGTTGCTGTTGTCATGTAGAGTAAAAAAACCTTAAGTGTCACACAACGAAAGGTCACTCACATTCCTGGACTAATTTGGGATCCCCTTGATAAGAGAATTTATCCTTGCGTGACCTGTTAGAAAACTGACCTTAGTGTAGGTCCATGGCTGTTTTTGAGATCTATAGAAAGCATATTGATTGAGGTGTTAAATTGGGAGCCAGAAAGTTTAAAGTTCCATTTAGATGAAGTTTGCTCGTTGAGTGTGTGGTGCAGTGGTAGTTTTTCCAGTAGCTGTCGTGTGAAAAAGGCCTGGCTCTGAATTTTTTTAGACATTTAAAATTGTAATGGGAGCACTCGGATTAAGAGAGGAGACTCTTGCAGTGAGAGGAGGTTGCTGATGGTTAAACTCTTAATTTTGATCCTCTTTTAATGATGAGCTGACCCCCTTTTTTCTCTGTCTCTGACACGCTGGAGTTTGTTACCTGGATAGAAGTTCTGTTGGCTTGACCGGGAATTAAAAATGTGATAATGACCGATTAAAATGCCATTTTCATTTTTGTCCCCGTAGGTCATGTTATTGTAGCATAAAATAAATGGTTACAGTACGTTAGAGTACCATTTAGGCCAGTTATGAAAATGACAGTGTGGTTATTTGCTTAATTTAATGATTAACCACTTGAGATATACAGCATTGGGTAAATCATGCACAGTGGCTTAGTAAAGATGTTAATAAATTGGTTGGAATTAATACCTTCACTTAAAACATTAACTCATGACCATACAAATGTAGTGTCTGAAAGCTGTGTTGGTGAAGGGTTTTCCTCCGAGTCTGGCAGTGGACCTAGTGAATGGCCTTTCTTTCCTCCCTTCTGGCTGTGCGTGCTTTCGTTTTATGTGCTGTCTCTGCTAGTAATGTGACACCTTTTCAAATGTCCTCTGATCTTTCGGGTTGCTGCATTGAGGAGTATTTTTAAATCTTATACATGCTTTCGTATCTAATAGAGCAAGAGTTATTGTAATGCAGGGGTTGGAATTGAGGGTTAAAGAAAGTCTGTTTTTGAGGTTCTCCGGCTGACAGTTTGCGGGTTGCTTTTAGAGAAATGGATTTGAGCCAGTAGAATAGATGTTGTTAGATTGGCAGTAGCAGAGGTCACATGATCCTCCTGTAAGGAGGTTATGTTTTTGAAAACCGCTTGTTTTTGTAAAATCAGGCCTGGAAAATATCAAAATATCCTGATACACACATATATATATTAAACTGTAATAAAGCAATTTGTAATGATTCCCCTCACCCCCTCCCACCTTGCAAGATGAAAAGAATAGGAAATAAATTCTATTGAAAGCATTGGATAATTACAACTTTGTGTTTTAGATTTATCTTTCATAGTAACTTCCTGAAGTACAGATGAAGTGATTGATTTCATGTGAAATGAAACATCTAAACATGTTGCGGTCCAAAAATAAAAATCAATGCTATCGACGGCGCTGCACTAGTTGAATAAAGGCATGTAAAAGCAGTCAATTTCTCTCAGAATAAGTGCCTTTAAGCTATAAGCCACTTTCCGTGCAGACAGTGATTTCAGTTTGGGCTCCCTGTGTATTGTTCAGCTGTTGAAATGAATTTGTATTTTCTGATAAACACGGGGGAGACAGTGATACAAAAGAGACTGAGGTTTGACACTGAAGTCTGAAGGCGATAATATTAAAAGATCAGTGCTATTCAGGGTTTGGTCTCTGCTTAATTACCTACCTGCTTTACACCTGACGGTGTGATTTTCCTTATTGATGAGTGTTTTAACTGTTGTGAGAGAGAAACAACAACCAAATCATTTTTTTTCCGGTGTGTGACCTGCTCTGCATTGTGTGATTTCTGTGTGCGTGTATACGCTTTCACAGTAGGCGCGTGTTTGCATATCCACAAAATGTAATTTTGTTTTCAACAGCATGCCAGTGTCGAAAAGGATGGGGAGCGTTACATGACCCCCGGTGATTTTGTGCAGAAGTACCTGGGGCTCCACACACTGCCCCATCACAACCCCAAAACTGTGCAGCTCATAGCTGGAGTGGCTGATACAACTAAAGATGGGTAAGTCTGTTTGGAATTTGTGCGATTTATCTAACTGCTACTAGGTGGAGAAGTTAATCAATGACTCCCCTGCGGATGAGTATTCTTTTTTTTTTCCCCTAGCAGCTTGGCAAAGTGAAAAGGAGTTCTGCTGATTTCTCTTTGAAATGTCTTGTCCCGTAGGGAAGTAATTGATATGTGGCAGGGGTATTCAGTAAGATGTCTGCTTCTTTTAACCATTAAATATCCTGAAGGAAGAATATAACTGAAAGAACACTGATGCAGTCCATTCATTTTAAGAAGCATTGTAATGAGAACCAACAAGATCCTTAGATGTTTCTTTTCCACTATGGGGGGGAATGTCTGCATCAGAGAAATAGGATGTGCCCATGGGTCTCTGACCAATATAATAGTAACCATGGCCGGAATTTGACGTGTGTCTGCATGTGTTTATTAACATGGTTAACTTGAAAATTTACCTGACCTGCCAATACCGCATTTGACTTTCACATTTTGGTGTGCAGCACATTAAACTCTTGTTGTGGTGGTTTGAAGTTTACATATTCCTTCAGCGTACGATATTGTCATGGGTCACACAGAGTTTAAAATGCCTTAACTGTAGGAAGCTACAATTATTACAACATAAAAAGGGATGCCCTGTCCTATAGTACATTTATGCCACTATCATAAGAAACGGAAATTAATTTACTAGCTTTGATGCATCAGGGGTTCTCTTTAATCATCTCTGAGTTCTCAATATTTTTAAAGCTATAATTTCCAGTTAAACCGGTGTAATTTTACCTGTGACGTTTTGGACTGATGTAATCGGAGTTCAGTGAGGTTCAGACCCAGATCTGCTGATTTTGGAGTCTAGTGCGTTAGCCACTAGTGTCAGAATTTCCAGTTTTTTTTTTTCATGATCATTAATTAATGCTCTTTTGTTGTTTCCTACATACTGTGTCATTGTTATTGTCTTTGTGTTCCTTTATGTTCAATTGTTTCTTTCAGGGATCAGAAGCAAACGCCTGTTGCATTCAGAGCTTCTGTTAAAAAAGTAATGGCTTTCCAAGCTATTTTGACGGCAGTACATTTTAATTGCTAATTCAGTTTAGAACCTGCAATTCGTAGTTTTTGGCCATAAATAACTTTGGTCGCATGATATAGAATTGTATAAATAAAAAAAATGATAATGCTGCATGATTACAGACATTTGTTTCCTAATTTGTTGCGTGTGGAAATAATTATTTCAGATGTTATGAATGTTTTTTTTTGTAATTTTTGCATTAATTATGTTAATTATAACGCCTGTTTACAAATTGGTGGAATTTTATGCTGTCACAGGTCATTGTAATGTTTTTTTTTCTTCCCCTACACAGACTCATCTCCTTCCAAGAGTTTCTGGCCTTTGAGTCTGTCCTTTGTGCCCCTGATGCCATGTATATAGTGGCCTTTCAGTTATTTGACAAGAACGGCACTGGAGATGTGTCCTTTGGTAGGTACAGTGTGCTCTAATGCTAGGCCATTGCCGCGTTAGCTTGACAGGTGCCCTCTCTCATCTGTGGTCCAGATGTTTTTTTTTCTCAGCTCTGGTATTTTTGTACTCTTGAGCATTGATTCTGTTTCGTGGAAACAGATGCAAAAATGTGAGACCAAAGCAGGGTTTGTCTCTTCTAATACTATGTTGTCATGTTTTTTTTTTTTAATCTGTGCTTTTCGTCCCCAAAGGATCCCCAAGCTTTTCACATACAGGTAGCAGTCATCGTGCACCAATAACCAAGCTGCCCAGCATATCAGCTGGAAAAGTAAGAAATGACTTCACGCCAATAAAAAATAGGATGAAGTGTCAGGAGGCCTTATTGTGCACGCCCAGAATGGAGTTTCCTCAGGAGACTGGGGTTAACACCCTTAATCTTTCAAAAAATGTGATTTGGGATCGTTAAACATTTAATGAAGCCAGATAGGCAGGACTTGTTTTGACCACTCTGATCCACCTACATAGCAGCTGCTCTGTAGGTACAGTATTTCCTTGAGGTCTCTTATCCCAGTAATGACCAGGCCCAATCTTGCTTACCAGAAGGGTCACTTCGTTGTTGCGAGCTTTTAGTTACTATTTCAATAGTATTTTTACACTGAATACAATTTTACACTGAAATTATTTTTTTCCCCCCGAGATTATCACTACCTCTTACTGCAATCAAATAGCATCAAACGGATGATAAATGGAGATTTTATGTTTGGCCCAGTGTAGGGTGGGATCTGTAGTCGCAAAGATGAATATCTGTTAATGCTAAACCTCTGGAGGACCTGCCAGCTGAAAATGATGGTGGTAATGGAGCACACCTGGTTGTTGAAATCTGCGTTCTAGCATTAAGAACATGAAAAGTGAAATCAATGAAGAATATATATTTTCATAGTTTAGGGGATCCTTATAGTATTCTTGAGAGCTGAAATCTAACCAGTAGTTTGTCTTTTAAAATCAGAATCATTTTGAGACTTCTTGAAAAAGGTAAACCAGGTTTATTTGAAACAATGTCCAAAATAGACGGACTGAGAGAGTTTCAGGATCGTAGTTTCTAAACTGTAAATGTAACACAAAGATGATTGACCCAGCTCCATCTTGGTATATCGGCACTGCTTGCAAGTTACTTTCACTGTAGTGTTTCTTTTTGACTTTGTTTTACTCCTCAAGCTCCATTTTTTCCAGAGGTTCCTTTTGTAACTGTGCCATACATAATCGTTTCATCGTGGACTGGAATGTTGTAATCTCGACATGCTTGAGAGGATTGAAATGAGAACTTTTTATCGCACTCATTCCAGCCATTGAGATGGTGGGGAAAAAATAGGCTGCAAATATATGTAGGTTAAAAGAGAAACTCATTTTCTGGTAAAATGGGTATTTCATTTTTTTAATACCTTTCTCCTTGAGTTGCATTTGAGTTCAGTTCCAAAAGCTGTTCCGTAAGTTGGATTTCATATTTTCTGGTTTTTTATTTTATACTTTGGATGGTAGTATGTGCTGGTTAGCTCATAGCCCAGTGAGTTACATGAACAGTTTGTAATATAATGCATGTTGTGTATTCTACAATAAACATCTGTCTAATCGACAGACTCGGTATTAATGGTTTAAATAGTGGAAGTTACTTAAGATATTTAAGAAAGTGCTATGCAAGTAGTCCCCACTTATGTATGCGGATTACAGATTATGAAAAATTTGCGTGAATTGAGATTTTAAAAATGTGCCTTATTTGTAAAAAAATAAATTTGCTTGGTTTGTATACTGGTGGAAGTGTCCGTATAAAAAAGCATAGCATTTCACTTAGGCATCAATTGTTTTGAGATGAGATGTCCATTTCATTTCAGTTGCATTTTTTCCCCTCTCATTGACTGACTGGCTGTTTTTAATTGATTAAACCACAGAAATCCCCTTGATCCTGCCCCTGTTGATGTGTTCACACTTCTGCTCATGTGGCCCACCGGAGGGTGGCCATTTGGCATTTCGCTTGGTGTTGTCCAAGACCAGATGAGGGGTCAGAGTACAGAAATACCTGTTGCTGTGGGTGGGGGAGCATAGCATACCTCCTCCTAAAAAAAGTCAGGATGCAGACAATGTGCCCAGATTCTTTGAAACCAAACCGTGGAAGGGGAAGAATTTTAAAATAGTTGATTTTACTGTGCAGGTGGGCCTGGGAAAATAAATCCCTGGACTGGCGGAGTGTTTCCAAAATACGGACGTGAAAGCAAAAGAGCAGAAGAAAATCCTCTGAATTTATCGTGCATCATCAGAACTAACCCGCCTGGAGAGTTTGCAGTGCAGTTGGATGTAATATTCCTCCATGTCATATTACTTTTGTGTTTGAATTTTCCTTAGAAAATGTCAGAGATATCTTTGGACAGACCATCATTCACCACCACATCCCTTTCAACTGGGACTGCGAGTTCATTAGGCTTCATTTCGGCCATGACCGAAAGAAGCACCTCAGCTACCCGGAGTTCACTCAGTTCTTGCAGGTAGGTTTTAAATTGGTTCACAAGCTCTCCTTTGGTGTTTTTACTCTTTTATTGCTTTGTTTGTATTATAAATATACATTTACTAGGGTGCTAAGATGTTTTTTTTCATCACTGCTGAGCTGTAAACCTTCTGGAGTTTTCCTTGTCATGGATTCTTGGGTTTTATGTGCATTGTAAACGCAGCAGCAGGAGTTAATCAGTTTTGATGTGTTTCAAGAGGTGCCTTACAGGCACAGAGGACAGGGTGGTTATTGAGGGTAGTGTGCCAGGTTTAAAATTAATCCTGAGGACCAGCTGAGGGGGTAGGTAAGGCCAGCTGTAATGTGTGGTTTCGTTTTGTGGGACCCTGGTGTAGCACCTGGTGATAAGAGCAGCAGTGTTAATCCCGAGAAATTGGAAGCTGCTGTACAATACTTGGACATGTTTCACAGAAGTTGTGCCAGAATCAAACGAGTGTTAAATGCTGGAGTGAAGGTAGCTGGGGGTGGTCGGGGGGGGATGGGGTCTTCTTGGCGCGCAATTCTGATCTTATTTACCGGTTGCTGTCCAGAACTGTCTAATATGTTGGTGTTATAAACAAAAAGTCTAATATATAAAGTGGTTTGGATTTTGGTGCCACAGGAAAAGGTTCTTAAAACCGTCAACCTGCCTCTCCTAGAGAGCTTGTGGATTTGTAAAGTCAGGTCATGTCGGACCAAAGCTAACTGTAGCTGTGACCCCTGGCTGGAAAATGTTGTGACTGCAGGCAACTCAAGACAAATTGCTTGTAACTGCTCTGGATGCACCTGTTTCCTATCCAGCCATTTGCCTGGAGATTGGTGTCCAGTGAAGCCCACTTTTTTTTTTTGTCCATATCGTTTTGAAATGCTGTGTTTAACTTTGCAACGTTGTCAAACTGGCGTGTGTCTTGTTCTGTCATTTTTATGTGAAGACTTACTACTACAATCAAACCTTGGACTGCGCAGCCTTTTCTTTTTGCGAGATGTGTAACCTTGCTCTGTCGTGGCGATCTGTTTACTAGTAGCACAAGAGCGCTGTCTGTATCTGCAGGAGCTGCAGCTGGAACATGCCAGGCAGGCTTTTGCCCAGAAGGACAAGAACAAAACTGGTGCCATCACAGCCTTAGACTTTAGTGACATCATGGCTACGATCCGCTCGCACATGCTGACTCCCTTTGTGGAAGAGAATCTCGTCTCGGTAAGTGCAGCAAAAAGAGTACCTCTTAAGATGGGGCATTAGGATAATATTCATACTTCAATAATCGCCCTTCTATTTTTTAGCTGCTTTATCCAGTTCAGGGCTATGGTGGTGAGGGGGGGGAGACACTCTCACCAGGGCCAGTTTTCCCAGAAGACAATTAACCTACCAGTATGCATAGGGAGAACATGCAAACTCCACACAGATAATGTTAATAATGTTTCTTTATTAGCCCTGTACAATTTCTTGCATTAGGAATTCGTCTTTTCGCATACCCCAGCTTTTCTCCATGGAGACACAGACACACAGACAGGGAGAGAAGCTTGGGGTCAGAGCGCAGGGTCTGCCATTGTACGGCGCCCCTGGAGCAGTTTGGGTTAAGGGCCTTGGTCAGGGGCCCAACGGAGTAGGATTCCTCTGCCGGCCGCGGGATTTGAACCGGCAACCTTCCAGTCACAGGTGCAGATCCTTAGCCACAGAGCCACCACTCCGCCCGCACCCCAGTTCCAGATTTGAACCCAGGGTCTCCACGCTATGCTATGCTATCTACTGCAACACCATACCCCCCTTTAATGATCATGATAATATTTAGCCTTGATGATAATATTGTAGAGCAATGCTGCCCAGCCCTGATCTTAGCGAAACACATTGTCTTGTGGTTTGTGCTTCAGCTGAGGTCTTAATCCCTGGCTAATTGATTTCACTTTTCCATCTGGGGCGTGTCTGTAAATTTCCTTTCAGCTGTAGAAAGGCCAAATGGGATTTGTAATCGAAATCATTCCTCCACCTGTTTCTGAGTTTGAGGACTGTCCTCTTTCAGGTGTGCTGCCTGAATTGTAACCAATTGGATCTCTGCTGAAGGTGAACTTCTTGTGGGGGTTAATCTGATAACGTTCATCAGAAATTGATGGCAAGTATGCCAAGGAGAGGCTGTGTGAATTTCTGTTTGCTGAAGTGTTAGGAACGTGTGTGGATTGACTGAAGAACAAGTAGATCAATTAGCACTGGAGACGTGGAGCTCAGCTGAAATGAAGACCAGCGGCGTACCTTCAGGATCAGAGACAGATGTATTATGATATTTTTTTTTACGTAAACTGAAACCTTTTGAAAAGAGGATGTTTTTGAATATATTTCATGTATTTGTTAATTTTGGCATTTTAAATTCTTGCTCCTGTTAAGGGCTTACAAGTTCTTAGTATTCAATTCATGTTTTTTCATGGGATGAAAACCCTTGAGATGCGCCATCTTGTTTTCAAGGGGGTCCTGTTAGAATACATAACAGTACAAAAAATAGATAAAATACAATAACAGTATCGCAAATACAAACATTATAGCTGCCATGAGAAGTAGCCTGAAGCCTTCCATCCAACCTAATATACTCAGGGAATCTTAAAATATCTTTGCTCAGATTGTCTTAGAAAATGCCCTATATTTTTCTTTGTTCTTCTACATAGGTATTCTTATAGATATTAACCATTTGTCATTTCTGTGGTTTACAAGTAATGTGCGGTAAACATGCAAATGGTCTTTCTGCAATGAGCTTGACGGGCTGTTACCTACATTTTCCATCTGTAATACTGTACTGGCATCACGCCAGTCAGCCTTTTGGAGTGGTTTTGCTCCAGTTATCCTTCCATAAGCTGCCCTCTGTAGAAGTGCCACCTTCTGCTGTCAGTGCCCATTCACAGACTTGGTGAGATACTAAAAGACAACTTGTGCTTATTACATCCTCTTCAGTCACATTGATTTTAGGATCTCTTGCCCACTCCTGAGACAAGTGCTACCTGTCCTTGGTTCTGGTTGTCTTCTGCACCTCGCACAGTTACAGTTGTTACAAGAACAAATAAAATTAAACTTAGACAAAATATGCAGTACACTTTCTAATCTTTTAATGTCTAATACACTACAATATTTTAAAGGGTATTGTTAGGGTGTTGGGGCTTTGGGTTCAGTTCTAGACCTTGGGTGTTACCTCCTAGGGGTTTGTATATTTACTCTTGTGTTTGGGTGGTTTTCCTCGCGCAGTTCGAAGACATGCTGGTAGGTTAATTGGCCTCTGGGTAAACGAGCCCTGGCGTGAGTGTGTATGTGTGTGCCCTGCAATGAACTGGCATCCCATCCTGGGTGTATCCTGCCTTGTCTCTGTTGGTTGCCAGAATCGGCTCCAGGTCCCCCGCCACCCTGAACTGGAAGAACTGGACAGAAAATGGGTGGATGGATTTCCTAATTCATTTTTTTCTTTTCCCTTCAACAATGATGGTGTATATAGTGGATATCCAATATCTACACACCCTTTTGTTGTTGTGAAGGCTGAAATCAAGGCAAATCATGTCAGAACTTTTTCACATTTAATAAGGTGTTGTCACCAACAATATTTAAGTGAAAAACAAATGGATCATGTTTAAGAAAAATGATTAAGAATTAAAAAAACAACTTTAAATGCCAATACCTTTTCAATAAGGTTGTGTAGACTTTTGATATCCACTGTACATGTTATTCCACAGGAATTTCTGTATATTTCTGTGGGCTTAGGTGTACAGAGTGTTAAAATAGTGCTTCATTAATGGGAAGGATAAATAGTGTTTTGCCCCTTTCTGTGTTTTTTTTTTTTTTTACTCGGTGGTATCGGACTGTTTCTCTTTTCTCATGCAGGCAGCCGGTGGGAGCATCTCTCACCAGGTCAGCTTCTCCTACTTTAATGCATTTAACTCTCTGCTCAACAACATGGAACTGATCCTCAAAATATACAGCACACTAGCAGGCTCGCGGAAGGATATCCAAGTGACTAAAGGTAAAATCGGTCAGCCCCCACTGTACTGGACTGGACTGGTAGAAAATAAAACGTAGGAAGAAAATAATTTGCTTTCGCATGTGAAGTGAGCACAGATGAGCATGTTTTACAGGAAAAACAATAGCAAGGTCTAACTTTGGCTGTAAAATCGAAGGAGCTCTTTGGAGCTCAATAATCTTTCATCTTCATGGGATCAGCTGTACCATCTTATGCTTTTCTTTTCTATACACTGTCCAATTTTACATTTCAAATAGACCTCTTATTTTGTTGTTGCTGTTTTGGTGGCTTTGTGTTTTTTCCCCCCTCATGTTTGCTTGGGCTTCAGAACGCTGCTGTAGAGGACACGTGTCGAGCTGTCTGACTTCCATAAAAGGAAACAGTTGGGGGAGGCAGTGTGACTTCACGCCTTCAAAAACAACAACAACAAAACAAGATTGCTAGACAACCATTTAAAGGGGTTTAGAATGCATCAAGAACATTATGCATTTTACATTGCATTGCCAGAGTAGCAATTTTGTCCTGCACAATAGAGTGTTAGGACCACAGGGAAAATAGCAATACTTGTACATGTTGTATGTCAGGCCCACTTTAAGAAATCATAAAGAGCTTGCTTTCCTGTTCTTATTTTCAAAGAGAAATGACAAGGATGAACAGTGATTTTAAAAGATGACGTCTTGAACAGTGTGTTGTAATGGAATGCAAAAGCTAATGTCTCCCTTTTCTTTACATGTCTTCAAAATGCTAAACAGAGGAGTTTGTTCATGTTGCCAATAAATTTGGTCAAATCACACCTTTGGAGATTGACATCCTCTTTCAGCTCTCTGATCTTTACACTCACTCTGGGTAATTATTTAATTTATTGTCCTCCACATCATGAAATTTGTTGCAATAATGGTGTCGTTTTGTTCTGAAGGAACACAAACTAAAATTTTCCGCATATGCATCTCATAAAGAAAAAATGAGGGCTATTATTTTTCCTAACTCATAAATAAAAAAAAATCTTTGAAACAGTGAATACATCTTTAGATTTATGTCTCCCTTTATTGGGTAGTATTGAAAATACATTTTCAGCAACTGCTTGTGGAGTTTTACCACAAAGTCTCTTGCGGTATATTTTTGCTTTGTACCAAACTTCATCACATAATTTGTCTCAAGGCAGCAGCTATGTATTTTGGCTCATTTGGATTTGACTTGATTATTTTTGCTTGCTTGAATTAAAAGAGCCATTTGTTTTAGCTTGTTTGATCGTTGTTGGCTCTTAATAGATTGTACAAGAATTTTGTTCACATTTGTTGTCTGTTGTATATGAGTACACATATTAAAGCAGCAGTAACTTGACAAAAAATGCAATAAAAAGTGTGGAAAATCTGACTTCATTCTCTGTCAGCAATATAGAGTAATAGCTCAGGATTGAGTTTCATTCACCAGTTTCTCTAATGAGATGTTTCTCTCCTGTGGTTTTTGACTGGAGGCGGCTGACTTTGGCTGACATTGAGAGAATAGCACCATTGGAGGAGGGAGCCCTACCCTACAACCTGGCCGAGATCCAGAGACAGGTAGGAGGTGATGACCAGCGATTCAGCTGGAGACAGACGGAGATCTTTCCGGAAGAAATGCAGTGTGCTCTAGAGCGCCCCCTATCGCAGATTCTTGGTATCTGCCCTGCTTTTCTCAACAGGCAGTTGCATGTTTATTTTGTACCTTAACTCAAGGTTTAAGATAAATCTATAATTGAACAAACATAGGTTAAAACTTTGCAGAAGAGCGAAGACCATAAATTGTGTGGCATTTGGACTGTGAAAGCCTTTTTTTCTGTTCATCATGAAATTAAGGTCTGCTTGTTCATTAGCAGCCTGTACACAAAAGAACGTTATAATGGATCCAAATGAAAGAAGGCCATTTGGTAGTTAGTGGCTAATTGATCCAAAGATCTCATCATAAATGTTCTTGAAAGAAGCCAGAGTATCATTTTTATCAACATGGCTGGGTAACTTATGCAAAGGGTTATGAATATATGAATAGCAACGTGCCCCCAGTTCACAGTTTTAAATGCACTTCTGCATGGTTTCCATGTGTCCCCTTTTTTATGGTTTATTCTGAAGATGTCCACAGCGTTAACTTTTTCAAAGCGTTTGCAGATTGATTTAAATAAGGTTCCCTCCTAATCTTTTCTGTTCAGGGGTGAAAAGGGTCAGTTCCTTCAGTCAGTCTGTGAATAATATTCCTTTAAGTCTCTAGATTTGAATTCTTTACTTTTGACTATACTCCTAACATTTTGTCTGCAAGATGTAAACAATGAGAGAAAGCAATAAAAAAGCAGTTTTTTTCCCCATTTATGGCATCTTCTATCTCAGTGTTTCCCTATTTGTTTTTGTAGTTTTTTATGTCTTTATAGTTCTTTATCTGCTAGCAAGATGCTTGTCTAAACTAAGTGTCTTCTACCATGTGTTTGCTCTTCACTTTCATTTGCTTCTTCAATCATCCTATTTTGGTATTATCTGCAGACATGACTAATTTTAGATCATTGATTTAGATTAGGAAGAGCAAGGGCTCTAGTATGGATCCCTGTGGTACTCCACTAATTACATCATCCCCATTTCAGCATTTATTTGTGCTCTCTGCATTCACACTAGTGCTTTTTTCTCATTCAAACCCCCTATAATCCAAACTTGTCACAAAGGTGCCCCCATTTTCTTTTAATTAAACGCCTCTCTGCTCTTTTTTTAAGCAAAAATAAATGTATGTATGTCAGGAATAACCTGACGATCATAATCTTCCTTACTCTTTCAACCCTAATTCAAATTTATAAGGGTATTAATTATAGCAGTGTGTTGTGGAGGTTATAAAGCTTATAGTGCACATAAATTCAAATTTTCACCCCATACCCTAAAAGAGCGGGTTTCTTTAATAGGTTCAGCATCGGTGATATAACAGCCAATTATTTTTTTCAACTTTTCTTAATGTGGAAATTCTGAAACCTAAAATGGGCTTAGCCATATATAAAAGCAATATTAAGAGATGTAGCTATATTACCTTTGTGCCTCGCAGTGAAAACTTTTAAATACTAATCTGTTGGGTAAGTTGGAGAGACAATTTCATACTGTAGGTCTGTAGTCATCCTGTCAGACTGCATCCAACAACATTACCACAAAGACATTACGCATAGTACAGGGAACCAAGTGCAACAATTTTGTTTCTATCTAGGTGTGTGGATTAATTTAATAACTGGGAATCGCCAAAAGTTGTTGTTCAATAAAACTAATTTCCTCATGGATTTATTACAGTAGGAATATATTTACAGGATTTAAACTCTACTGAATAGTCAATATTATTTTGCAATAATGAAATTACACAGACCTGTTTGTGTGAAGATGAACTGTTAGCTAGCATAACTTAACTGTGAAGAGTGCTTAAGCATTTTTATTTTACATTTGTGCGCTTGGCTTGAGGCAATCATTAAAATGCAGCCATCTCTTTTAAAATAGTCTCTTAAATATGTTGATGCTGCCCCTATGTCAAAAGTATATGGATTAGAGTGCATTTTGGAAAGTGGAAATTGCATACCTGAAACCCTGTAATAGTCTGTTAGAGGGTTTTAATGTTTTTAACTCGGAATAGCTTTTAAAAAAAGAAATGTGGAGTGTGCCGCAGCTTTTGGAAAGTCTGGTTCGTTGGAGGAAATGTAGTCTTTTCGGCAGAGGTGGTTTTGGGGTGTTTCCTAATGTACCTGCCTCAAAGATAATCGGGTGTTCTGAGAGTTTAAAAACCTTTCAGAGCTCTGCCGAAACCTCCCAGGACATTTTAGAAGGGATTAAGATCAACCCCAGTGACTAAAAGTAGAGTTCTGGTATTTGTCCTTTATTAGGGGTACAAAAAAAACATGGCAATTCTACGGCTTTTTAAAACTGGGGCTTCTCTTAGGAGACTGTAATTGCTCGGGGACTTTGATCCTGCCCAAACTCCCGTTACCATTTTCCCTTTAGTGAAAACAGCTGTGTGCTGAAGATGATTTCTGCCTTGTAAAATGCAGCAGACGGCCTCAGGAGGGTAGACGTTGCTCACTCACACTTGGCCAGTGTAATAATTTATGCTAATGCCAGTCTCAACATCGAAAACGCTTGTACAACAAATTTGTTTAGCAATACAATAAAGCAAAGGAAGCGTGTTTAAACAAATCAGCCTTGCTTATTCAGACCGAGTTGAAAGATTGGAAATGAAAGCTTTATCTGTCACCATAGCAATTAGCTGTATTTAGCACTTTTAAAGGATCTTGTGCCTGTAATGGAGGATATACTCTCAAGCTAGGCCGTGTCAGTAATGTGCAATACCACAATGGGTGGGTTTGTAGACTTCCACAGCTCTCTTCCACATTCCTTGGCTTTCCCTTTGTGCTGAATTGTCTTTCCATTCTGCGTTGGGTACTGTATCTGTTAACACTACGGTTTTATATTAGTTGATTCATATGTCGTATTCTGATCCCCCCCCATCCTTCTCCAGATTCATTTATGTTAAGTTTTTTTTTCCCCCCCCCCCACCCCACAGCAAGCTTATGGAGAAGCCAGCAGGCCCATCTGGCTCCAGGCTGCAGAGTCTGCTTACAGGTTCTCTCTGGGCTCAATTGCTGGAGGTGAGTGACATGTCTGTGTCCTGATCTCAGACCTCAGCTTGTGTAATCCTACACTGCCAGACTGCCGCACATCAGCTAAGGTGCGGGGCATTATACTGCAGAGACCGAGCTGGAATGATCTGTGTGCTGCCTTTTATTTCCTCCTGTGATCAGAGGATCCGGCATTGTGCTGCAGTGGCTCTGTGGCTCCAGACTGTCTTCAGGGCAAAACCCTCTGTAATGACACGGATCTTCCGGAACCATGCTGTAGCTGCTGCTAATTACACTTGATGGAAACGATAGCAGAAACGGAGCCTGAATCTTCCAAGTTAAAAAGTTGAAAGTGTACAGAGTTGCCCCTGAACAGTGCGTCTGTGCGACACTTGCAAACGTGTATGCTTTGGGATTTTTTCCTAAATTCCCATAAACGGACACAAAATCCTTCTGATTCAGTAAGGCACGTTTTTTTTTTAAATGCGGTATGTTTTCGTTTAGACTGAACGAAACCTAGAGCTCAGCATATTCCAAAGTGCTGGAGTCATTACGGACTCCCTTTGATGTCAGGCAAGAAGTGACAAGTCACCCGGGATGAAATCCGTGTTTATGGCTCCTGTTTGGTGCGGCCCTGCGCAGAAGTAAAGTTTTAAAAACAAAATGCTGAGAATACCTGCCACCAAGACGAGAAAAGATTTCAGACAGATTTGAATTGGCGATTTGTTGAAAAGAATTTTAGAAAGTCGAATTTCTATTTTTTCACATTTAGACAGTGAAACTTGTGTTTTGTGTACCGTATACTTTGAAGTGCATTTCCAAAGTGCCATTCCTCTTCCCCCAACCTACCAGCTACGGGGGCCACAGCAGTGTATCCCATTGACCTGGTGAAAACACGGATGCAGAACCAGCGATCCACCGGCTCCTTCGTAGGCGAACTGATGTACAAAAACAGCTTCGACTGCGCCAAGAAGGTTCTGAGATACGAGGGCTTCTTTGGGCTGTATAGAGGTACAGCGCCGTTTTCTTGCAGGCGAACGCTCGTGTTTCTCGTTTTGGGGGGAAAAAGTGGAAGATGCTCTTCCGTGATGCGGGAGGATAAGCCCGGTTAGAAAACACTGAGCAGAACGCAAAGAATTGCTGGAAGTGTAACGTTCGACAGCACTGATTGCAGTTTCACAAATAGCGTTCCTGCGAATGCTGGCTTTCTTGCTGCGCAGATAGTGCAAAATAAATAGAAAGCAAGATGCATCTTGTTGTAATCCCTGGCTTACAATGCAGATCATTTAACGGAGGGGATAATATTCCCCTGTGTATGTGGCTTTAATCAAAGGGCTTGTTCTGAGTGTGAGGCTCCTCGTGGAGGAAGTCAAGACTGCCATCTGCTGATCCTCTTGCCTGCACACTGTCAGTAGAGGATGTTCGTAGCAATTTTCACTCACTGATAAAGAGATCTGATTGAGAGCAACAGGAATGTTTGACGGTTTCCTGGCTGCCTACCATGCAGAGTCACTCAGCAGGCCCTTCTGAAGTTTATCTGATCTGATGAAGGACACGGAAACAGTGCAGTATTTATCGCTGCTCTAATGATTTTGATATCTACTGCTTTAGGCTGCCGTGCAGTTGAAATGCAGAAATGGAAGATGGAAAGACCTGTAAAATATAAGCCCTTTAAACTGTTACAAATTCAGTGGGAAAATGGAAAAACGCAATGTATGTAGTAGTTCTTGAAAGATCTTCATGAAACACAAGCAATAGAGAACACAATCCCTTCTGATGTACCACTGTTATAGTTCCCTCTGCAAACCTGCATTTTGTTGATATCTTTGCGGTATGGACTTCTGAGTGTCCAAGATCTGAAAGAACTGCTGTTTTTATTTCCAGGCTTATCTAAATGCTGTACATATTTTCTTCAGGTCTTTTGCCGCAGCTTGTAGGTGTCGCTCCTGAAAAGGCAATTAAACTTACTGTAAGTATTTTTGTTCAGTTTTTATCAGTGTTCTCGATCCTTTTATTTGTACTGATGTGACTGACTCAATGTGTGTTTTCTAATGCAGGTTAATGACTTTGTCAGAGACAAGTTCACTAAAAAAGATGGTTCCATCCCATTGTTTGCAGAAATCATGGCTGGTGGATGTGTGAGTATTGGGCCAGGGGTTTTCCTTGCTTATTTTCTGTACAGTGAAATCCTTTAGCTTCGGCCTCTTTTCCAACCCGAACAGCACTTGGTCAGGTTTTCCTGGGGGTGAGATGGTAACAGCTGCCACAGCGTGCAGCTGGAGTGTGGCTGACCAGGAGGCCAACATGGTAAAACCGATGCTTCCCGGTTTTTTAGGAAAAAACAATAAGCCTGTGACTTGAATTTTGGGTTAATTAAGATGTCATCGGGTTGAAGACCTCGACATCTACTTTGTTTTACTCGCAGCACAATGCTTGCGGCCCACTCTCTGTATAGCGGCAGCCAGAAGTTCAAGTTTTATTCTTATGTGCAGACATACCACAAACCCATGTAGGTTTTTGTAAAAAAAACCAGGAGGTTTGACTCTGTTTGGTCTCAGAACCCGCTAATTAGGACTGATTTTAAAATAGCAATACGCCCGTGAACGGCCTATTTATAACCTTGCTAATTCGGGTTTCAGAATTTGCCCAATGTTTGGTCACAGAATTGTAGGATTAAGGAAAGCTTATGCTGTTATGCTACCTGAGAGACTTAATAGCTCCCAGTAAACTGAAACTGACAGGCAGCCCTGGAAAACTGTGTCATACACTAGAGGGAACAGGGGCCAGGGGGTTATGACCTCTCCAAAGTTTAATTGAGAGAAGAAGCCCTGGAGGGTCACCGATATGGCTGCTTCCACTTCATTGTGATTAGGTTTGACAGTGCAGTACATACCTGAGCCCTCACCTGTCAATGCACCATGTGTAGCTCCAGAGCGACATTAGAAAGGACCTGTGTTTAGTACCAAGGCAGCAATCAGCGGGGATTACACATCCAACTTTAAAGGGCAACCTTAATTATTTTTGTGCAGACATATTAAGTAACATTATGCTTTCTCTTTTCCTTTAGTTTTAAAGGAACATTTGTTTTCTGTGTTGGAAGACAATTCAATGCCACATGGAAGCCAGAAACTGGGAACAATTCGGCACGTGCTGTGTTCTCTTTTAAATACATGTGGGAATAATGCTGTCTGCTCTACTAAAAATGAGTCATTCATACAATCCCAGGGAATGACAATGGAACGGAATGATGAATCCCTTACAAGAGGATTCCCACATGTGGTTTAGAAGCTCTGGAGCAGGGGCAAAGAAATCGGATGTTTATAGAGCAAAAATGTCTGCCTTGAGTATCACCAGTGGGCTTGATGTTCCTGATTAGATTGTTGCATGATAAATCAGGGCTTAGTCATAAAGGCTGTGCCTTGAGGCTGCACTGCTGAACCTCACGGCAGACAGAGATGGTCATGATTCAGTTCAGTCACTGGAGACTGCTCTGTGGTGTGGCTCCCGATAGGAAGTCAATGGGCAAGGCCAGGGTGGGCCACTCACCCTTCTGCAGGGGGCGCCTGGGGAGGAAGGGGGGTTGCGGAGGGCCGGCAGTGGGGTCAGGGCCTGCAGCCCAGAGCATGTCACATGGTGGGAAGCAGCAGCCTTCTAACCATGAATTGTGCTGCTTCTCAAGCCGAGCCTGACCTCCACAGTCAATGCCCATTTGTTCTTTTGTTTATGAAGGCATTTCCTGATTGCATTGGACTTTTTTTTTTTTCCGTAAGCGCTTATTGTAATTTTCTCAGTCGTTTCTTTTGCATAAACTAAAGAAAAGGTCTCTCTCTATATATATATATAATATTTCATACTAGTAGTTTTCATACTACTATATCTAAAATAGTGGTAGAACGCAAGACCCTTTTGAAAGTTATTTCTTAACCGTTTAAAAATGTTTTAAGAGGCACTTAGCTACTGAAACATCTTAAGCTTGACAGCATGTAAAATTTAATGTTCTCTAAATCATAGTCGCTTTAAACGTTTATGCTGGCGAATCACGATTAATTAACACACGTTGCTAATTTAACGATCTGCGTCCCTCCGAGGGAATGAAGTGGAGTAGACTGCAGAACTCAAAGGCCACGTTAACACATTGCAAAGAAGTAAAAGCACAGCATTCAAGCTGGGGTCTGTCGACCTCATGGTATTAACCAGTTTAACGCTGCGAGGGAGAATGGAGGAGGAGTCTGTAATTTACAATTCACCATAAATATTTGTACTTTATGAGAGTGTCTGACATTTCCCTAAGGGTAATTCATTGGGAAAGACTGGAGATGATCAATTTTGTGCACCAAAATGTTCCACTTATGATTAGTTCCTTAACCCGTGTTTGTGCTACACGGAGTGGGATTCGAGAGAGCTGTTGTCCCCTTTCCGTTCTGGAATTTTAGCATTGTGACAGTAGCCGTGTCAGTTTTGTAATACAGTATATTTTCTTTCCCCCGTTTTTAACCCTACCCCACCACCTCATGTGAATAATCCTCCAATCCTCCCCGTCTTTCCTGTGCCTGTCCAGGCCGGAGGCTCTCAGGTGATCTTCACTAACCCCCTGGAGATCGTGAAGATCCGGCTGCAGGTGGCGGGAGAGATCACCACCGGTCCCCGCGTCAGTGCCCTCAGTGTGGTGCGGGACCTGGGCTTCTTTGGCCTGTATAAGGTAGGTTTCCTTGTTTCGCAGGCTTTGAGTTTTAAACTTCTGTGTTCTGTCACCAAATATCTATCAAACCTGGTCATAGAATCAGTAGATGATTCTATGTAGAAAGGTCTTGTGCATGTTGAATTGAAAACCTCTTTACGAGCTGGAGTTCTTTAGTGCCTCATGATATATTACTGATATTCTGCTACATACGAGACAACAGAATGTATTGAATGATGTAAGCAAAACAATATTTAGATTACATCGCTTGCTGAACATGGGCCTTTCAGGAAGACGTAAGTCTTTATAATGCAGAGATGACTGCTGGCACAGAGAAACAGTGAATTAAGAAGATTTGCACTTTGACAGCTTGCTACTGCTCCTGTCCAAGTTTTTGTGGTTTTACTACATCTTGCGTAATACTGTTCTCTTGTTCCATATTTTAATGAGTTGCAGACAAAACAGTCCTTGTTCTACAAGCATTTCCTTTCCTTGAATTGATACAATAGACAAGGGCTTAGCATTATTGTGGCCCCAGTGTATCAGAAATACCCAGCACTGTGCTGTCAGGTCCAAAAGCTGTTCTGGGTCGAGCCACAGGGAGTCTTCCTCCTGCAGGCTTACTGTCTCCTGGCATGACCGCATTTTCTTTCTGTGGTTTTTTTAAAAGGCTCTAAGGATTTTTTCCTTGTGTAGCACATGCTGAAGAGCTGTAGTATCAGATTTTAACCAAGATGCATTGCTTTTCCACAGTCGCAGCTCTTTTAGCTTGCTTAAAATGTGATTTGTGGAAAATGCAATAAACATTCGCATCCTGGAGGTTTCATATGAAAGCTAGGCAAAACTGTATGTGGTGAAACCATGTGAATGAGCAAGTCATGTACCCCACCATACACGGGGTAGGTTGAGAAAGAATCAGTGCTTCATGTATAATTCGGCCCGGTGATCCAGTTGTTTAATGACTTTTAAAATATTAAACCCCTTTAATCCTGAATTCTTCTTGTATTTCTGTATTTTGGTTGCAGTGTAGATGGTAAATTAGAAGTGGCCAGGTAAAGCTCCCACAACAGATTTTGTTATGCTTTTCCTATTAGGAAGATTTAACTAACTGGTATCATTGATCTGTATTAGTGATGTAAGTCTACAACTGCCTTGATTTAAATGGAGTTAATGTCAAAGCAAACCTTTGGGGTCATTAGGAAGAACTCAAAAGCATGATTTATTTAAATGCAAGCTTGGGAGGTTTGTTGATCACCTGGCAAAACAAGAGGTTAGAAGAAAAGGGAGGTTAGCCGAGGCCCATGTAGCTCATTTGGTTGCCTGTAGCTTATTGATCCTGAATTGATATGTTCTGTTGCATTTGTGTCACAGGGAGCAAAAGCCTGTTTTCTACGTGACATCCCGTTTTCTGCAATTTACTTCCCTGTCTACGCTCACACCAAGACCAAGTTCGCTGATGAGAGTGGCAGATTGGGTGCCTTACAGCTGCTAGCTGCTGGTGCTATTGCTGGTAATTCCTAACTCTTGCCATTCATAAACAGATCATAAAAAGTGCTACGATTTCTAATCCGGGTTGATCTTTGGAGCATTATTTTGCTGTAAGTACCTAGGGGGCAACCTTGTTGTGAGAGGAGCTATATCAAAATAAATTGAATTATTTTAATTACTAGAACTGCCAGTTCATTTTCTCTTATTCCTTCCTAATTTGGGATTGCCGGTTGTCGCCCAGTTTAAAGCTCTCTGTGCCAGCTCAAAGTGGATTTCCTTTGAACCGCTGCTGATTCCTTTGCTGTTGGACACGCCGCAAACAGCACAGCACTTCATTTGAGCGCTCAGCATCAACTGGAGTAATGATGCACTGATGAATTGCTTTCACGGGTGCCCTTCCGTCTTGTGGCTAGCTGTTGCGTGGCAACCCGAGGATATCCTGACTAATTAGAAACAACTCTCCCCTGGTGGCGCTTTGCCACTTGTGCCCTGCCACCCTAGAAATTGGTAACAGCTGTCAAATGATATAGCCCAGGCTCAAATCAGCAGCGTCTGGTGCTTCCTATTTAAGACTCGTCACAAATGTTGCTTTATGTGTGCAGATGAACTGCTGGCGGTTCAGGTCAGTCCTTGATGTGGTCAAGTCTGATCTTTGCACTGCTGTAGAATCTGAACAGAGTGGAGTTTCTCATAAACCATTGTTTGGCTTGCATGACCATCTACATGAGAAATTTTAACTGATTTTTTTTTTTTAGAACTTGAATATTAGTAAAAAAAGAGAAACCTGTGCCTGCCTATTATTTCCTAGTTGGTAATTTTTTAAAAGTTTCTTTAATTGACCAGTTTAAATTGTTGTTCAGGAACTTCTAATACAACGGTTAATGCAGTCATGATTCTCTGTTGTGTTGTTTGTACCTTTTTCTCTGCTTTTTTTTACACTACCTTAAACAGCAGCAAGTAAACATTTTAAGCTGTGCAGAAAATTTTCAGCTGGTCACTTCAAAACTGGTCATTTCAAACCAATCTGTCCCTGTACAATAGTTAAGTAGGGTGTCATTTATAAAGCGTGAAATACTGTTTCTCAGGATGTTGTTCAAATCGCATGTTTCCAGGTGTGCCAGCTGCCTCTCTGGTAACCCCTGCTGATGTCATTAAGACGAGACTTCAGGTGGCTGCCCGCGCAGGGCAGACAACCTACACCGGAGTCATTGACTGTTTCAGAAAAATCCTCCAGGAAGAAGGTTTCAGAGCTCTTTGGAAAGGAGCGGGAGGTGAGCGACGACCTAAAGATACCATGGGATGATGGAACATAAAAGTTGGGTGTCTTTCGCGCATATTGATTTGTGAGTTAGAGGACTGGGAATTCCAGCGTTGTAATTTCATTCCTGTGGTTACAGCACGCGTCTTCCGCTCATCGCCACAGTTCGGCGTTACTCTGGTGACCTATGAACTTCTGCAGAGGTGGTTCTACGTTGATTTTGGAGGAAGGTTAGTGTTCACACAAACTGTACGCCTAACCAGCGCCCGCTGTTCTTGTCCTTTATTATTTGCTCATTCGTCTTGTTTTTTTTCTTTGAATGGTCCACCAGCCGCCCTGTAGGGTCGGAGCCTACCCCAAAATCCAGGATCCAGGAGCTGCCTCCGGTGAGCCCTGACCACGTGGGAGGATACAAGCTCGCCGCCGCCACCTTTGCCGGGATCGAAAACAAGTTTGGCCTTTATCTGCCGAAATTCAAGTCTTCGGGTGTTGTGTCCATCCATCCGGCAGCATCAAAGGAATCTCAGGGGTCTTAAATGGCAGCAGTGCGGTGTAGTTGAAGATGAGGCTGGGCTTTCATACCAGTACTGTATTGAACTGATTGGGCTGCATGTTTGTTGAGCCGAGATGTCTGCTAACCTTTTCTATATATGATTTTGTTTTGTCTTCAACTGCTTCAATGAAACTTCTGTATCAAGGCCTCATTTCTATGCATTTTTAACTTTATAGTTCTTTTTAAAAAGCTGCATGGATAGAGCTTTTACGATTTGCTTTGCACAGCTTGCACATATGTAACTGTACATATTGTACATCTTTGTACAGAGACATCATGGCGTTGAATGGATCATATGAGGCATTTCTGCAATCATGAGTAGTGGCTTAAAATGATGTACAGATGTTTTGAAAGTGTTTTATTAAAAATCATGACCAGAATATTAGTAAATAATTTAAATTAATCATTTTCTTGTTTTATTGCAATAAAGTATCAATATGGTTTAATTTTTAGCGGTGTGGAAACATACAGCGTTCAGTATGGAAATGAACATTGGACACAATTGTAACAGGTCGGTGTTAGGATGGGATTGTTGTACACACATAAAAGGTTAATTCCAGATCAAATATCATGCCTTTTCCTTCCAGATCTGTGTTATGGGGTGTCTTAAAGCACTGCTGTTTTTTTTTTAAGTTCCTAGAAATGCTTTGCACGGTCTTAGAAAACAATGTAACAAATTCGACATCCGTTGGGGCAAAAGACCTTAGATCCTGCCCATCAGTTTTGCAACGAGGGAATTAAATAATGCGGAGGGAGCTTTTGAACAGTGGGAAATACAGGGTTTGGGAATCTTGCTTTTATAGCTTAATAAAACAGGCTTCTACTATTACTATGGTGTACTTAAAGGAGGTTAACAGTTTAGGTTAGTTGACAAGAGAATACTACAATTATGCTTATAATGAAGAAATTATTAAATTACTATATTTTCATAGGGACTTAGCAGCAAAGGTAGTGAACACATCAATCATGACAGCAATTATGGGCCTGGGTATAATTAAAGCTACCACCAAACAAGGAATGCTAAACATAAGTAGAGTGTGCAGCAGCAGTGTTACATAGTAAGCAACTGAACCCAAAAAGCCATGATAAGTCTAATTTCTTCTAGTCAGCACAATGGATGTTGAATTTAAGGCTTTTGGTTTTTCGAGTGGTAATGTATAGCTGCTTTTTTTCGGCAGCACTGCTGCAAAACCACTTTGAAAAAAGGTAACCTTTGTGCATTTCAATAGCCCTACTCCGACTGTGCTTGGTTAAAACTTGCACAAAATCAGTTCAGCTAGAATTATAAATAACCAGCAGAAAAATAGTAAAAGGCAGAAGTATCTAAGTATACAGGTTATCTATGTTTGATTTATTAGAAAAGATGACCGAACAGTTTGCTGTACTGTTTCAAAAAAATTGGCGTCCACACATGCCTGGATAGTTTGAAATCATGCCTAGTAACCCAGCAGTACGATCTGTGTTTCCGTTTACAAAGGCCAGCTACTGGTCCCTACTCTCTCATGGCGGTTCTCCAGTAATCAGGCTGATAAACGTGCAGCAGCTTCCTCTTCAGCGTCAGCTCTGTTGGCATTAATTTCTGCCAGAGTGCGGGCAAAACGGGTCCATTCGTCATTGCGTGGAACGGCAATTTGCTGTGGAAACAAGGTAAAGCGTGTCATGGAGCAAAAGTGCACAGTAATTGAGGTGTACTATTTACCAAAGTTCTAAACAAAATGGATGTAAAACCATACATTCCCCTTCACTGCACAAAAGCTGAATTTTCTCCTCTCCTGCAGTCCCTTTAATGGTCATGGGATCAAACACAATTTTCTAACCATCACTGAGGTTTGACCCCCCTTACTGTGACAGATCACGATTCACATTTACCTTCTATCTGAAAGCTGGATTGTTAATGGAAGAATAAGTGCCAGAGACATTTGAACTTTTCTAGACTATTCCCCATGAGGTTTCCTTCTGATAAGGGTTAACTGTGCTCAAATGAAAACTGATACAGGATCTACTCTTTTGCTTCAGTACAGACATACAAACCTAGCCCAAGTCCCGCTGTTAAGAATACCAGTACACATGTACAGTGTTTTTTCTGTTATGCAAAGGGAAATATTTGCTTGGAATGACAGGGGGAACTGTTTTTCCATTTAAGTAAGTGTGTATATATATTACTGGACCAAACTAAGAAAAGACACCAAAAATAAAATCATGCATATAAACTGGTATTTTAATACCTTCACAGAGAAATTCTGAAAGTGCAGAAGTGCTTTGAGAACCTGAACTTGTAAATTATTTTTCTTTTGAATCATTTCCTTAAAATATACTGAGCATAAAAAAGAACAGCACTCTGAACTGCAACAAGTTCATAAAGGTGTCGGGAAACCTTTGTATTGGGTGCACTGACATTTTATTATTAATTACAGATAACTGAATTCTGATCAGTATTTGTCATCAACAGGAGTTTACTTTTAGTGCTTTCTGCATCTATAGACTAGATACTCCTACCCTCACAATTGAACCTCCCCATTCATTAGTCAGTGTATAAAACTATTAACAAATCAGTTTGCATGTCCACACTGCACTCATTGATACACAATTTAGCAATCTATTCCAGTAGGTTTTCTACAGAAGTCATCAATAAAAAGAACTATACCCCACTGATGGCGAGTCCACCTGAGGTGTCACTCCAATAAAGCACAGACACAAAGGCATTATTCTAAGTGGGACATATTGATTTCTTTCTGTCTGTTTCAACAGATTTAACATTCAACAGGTTAAATCACCTGTATCTAACCAGCTCTTTCACTAATAAGGTGTTTTAGTGCTTACGCATGTTAGTCACTTCAGTGTATCATGATCAGTCATGAATGATCAATTAATTACCCAAAATCTGTATAGAGTACCTTATTTTTTAAAATGTGTACAAGCATAAAGAGCAATGTTATTTCTGATGCTCAATGTAAGCACTTCATATGATTCTCCTCTTATGAGTCTTGAATTTACATTACTAGACTTTAGCACTTTAAATATCTCACATTGTTAAAGTTAAAAGTTTTTTTTGTATGCATAATCAGAGTTGTAGTTTCATCTCTCGTTAACAATTACTAGGGCACTACTTACCTCTCCAACATCATAAATAAGTATCTGCCCATCTGAATCTCCAACAGCAATCTCTCTTCCTGAGTGGGCCCATCTGACACGGTTCAAAGCAGGGTTTCCTTCCACCATTACACTCGCTGTAGGAACCTAAAAACAGGTGGATTTTCACTCATTTCCCTTAGGAAAATAGTGCTAGTGAAAACACCACTGTGACACTAGGATACATGCATCAAAATGCCAAATTCACAAACAACATATCCACATAAGCGTGAAAAGCTAGCACATCATAAACATCTCTCAAATCTGTATAAACTCCTGTGGAACATGGTAACAGTTTACTCAGACTTCATCCTCTGGGCTTTTTAAACTTTTCTCAAAATGCATCTTGCTGATGTTCTAGATTAAATGAATCCTACCCAACGTACTCTCAAATGGACAACCAAAGAAATGTAGAAACCTTAGATAATGTGGAGCTACATCCTTATTATTGGAAACGTATTTGGGAACTCATACTTGGGTGTGAAAAAAGTAAACTAAAACGAATCCCACCTACTTGTTTCCAATAGAGAACCAACGAAATGTGTAAATCCTAGATAATTTGCAGTATATTCATGAATTTTGGACAAAAAGAAGTAAATGATACATCAGGCTTGTGTAGACTAGAAACTAGTGTTTTTCTCCCTTCGTCAAGGACAGCCATGTCAGCTGCTTTCTTCCAAAGCGTGAATGGATTTTTGTGCCCTGAGCTGGCGGCTTTTTCCTCCAAGCAGGCGCGGAGGGCTCAGCCCTGAACGAGTCACCTGGCCAGGGGCCTGTCCGTGCCCGGGCGAGCGGCGCCGGTTACCTCGGTGTCGTTGTTGAGGTTCCACAGGTCGAGTCGGCCCACACCGTCCACACAGGCAAACAGGGCCGGGTGGGTGGGGGACCACATGACATCATACACGTAGTCCGAGTTGTCCTCGAACGAGTACAATGGCTTGTTGTTCTGCGAGGCAAAAATAAATGCGAGTTGTAAACAAGGGCCGCGGGCAGGAATTACGTCAGCTCTCATTGTTGCTCCCGCAGAGCCCACCAGCATCGAATTAAGAGCCAGATACACCAGCAGCCTCCACATAAGAGCTCTATTTAAAACCTGAAGGGAAAACGCAGCTGGCTCATCCCTGAAATGCAGGGCTGCTTCCAATTTCATATCTGATCATTTGCATTCGCTTCCAGGATCTTTTTTTCTTAATTGATCTTACTGTAATTCTTAGGATTTTACGAGTCGTCCAGAAGCATTCACTATTTCAAGGCAGTTCTAATGCAATGGCTTTTTTCCTGTTTTCCACAGTTCTGATGTTGCTTTACACAGGAACTGGCACAGGGCGATCTTATGAAATACACACTGAATGACATGAGCCTAAAGCATATGTGAGACACACATGTAAAAAACAGATGTCTGAACATCACCCTGTCTTTTCTGATCCATTATTAGCCTGAAACTCTGTGTAATTATTTGTCATCTGTCCTGCATCCGAACACCCGTTAAAGGGAATTTTAAGATTAAGGAGGTATCGTGTGACTTCCTCTGGCTTTGACAATCTCAATCTCTCTATAAATATATATCAGGTTGAAACAAAATCACATTTGAGTTCCCTGGCATCAGAGCTCTCGTACCTTAGTGGTCCACAGTTTCACTGTCCAGTCAAAAGATGAGGTGACAAACAAGTGGGAGAAATCAATGGGTCCTGCTGCAGTGTGACAGTGGATACCTGTGATAGGTCCTTGGTGGCCTTCGAACATCTCACTGATGCCCGCTTTGCTGGAAAATGACAGAAACTGAAAGCTAATTGCGGTCGATCCCATTTTATAAATGCTTACAGTTCTGAACCTGGATTAAGGGTTCCAGGGTTATCCAGCTGAAGGAGATAATGACCTTATATAAGGATTACTGAAACTAGCTGTGTATTTCTTTGGATTCCAGCACTGAAAGAGTATTTTTCTATTCCACACAACATGATGTATGAATTCTTGTTGCTACCAAATTAAGCATACACAGCAATGGTAAAGAGCAGCAAATGAAACATTTTTCCTTCACAAAGTATCAGACCTCACAGAGTAACAAGTTAACGTGCTGTTAAAAGACTCTTACTCATAATATTCCTGAAAGGTAAATACCCCACATGAGTGATGCTTGTGGGTTATTAATCTGGATGAGACTGTTATGCTACTGGAAATGAAGTGGAAAATCACTCCCTCAATTAAGGGAGTTAAACCTGCAATGCAAAACCTAGCAACCATTCCTGAGCCTCAGGCATTAAAAAGGACATTATACTGCCATCAAAGAGAGGACCTGGGAAACTTGGCATCAACACAGGTCACTTTGATTTGAGCCCCTCTAAAATATAATTTACGAAAAAATCCGTGTAGTCCCACCACCACCACCACAACTTTTATTTTTGTGTCCTCTGGGACTTAATCCACTGAAAACATCAGCCGTGACCTGGTTGCCCTAGAAGCGACTGGGTAACAGGAACTTAGGACAGGGCTCCTAAACTATCTCTTGAGGAGACCTTTGCCGCAAACCTAACTTCAGACGCACGGCAAAAAAATAAGAAGACGCTGCAGATGTAGAAGCGATTCGTTTACGTTGCAAGAGAGCACGGCAATTCTCTGTGGCTTTTTAGGATAAAGATGATGACATCACAAATGAGAGACTCTCTTCGTTATTTAAAATGGCATCTCATATGATTACGTGTTTAAAAAATTCTAGCTATCTGAGGAAAGGGAATCAACGTAGTTGAATAGTTGTATTGGCCTGGGTAAAAAACTCAAATAGTTATTTTTCCTGGGCCACCCCTGGCGCTGCAGAGCCCTGCGATATCAGAGGACGTGTCGGTGATGTACCTTCCATGACGGCAGGCTGTGTAAACGGAGCCCTCCTCACTTCCTACCACAAAGTTATTGACGTCTCCAAGTGGGAAAGACATGCTGGTGACAGCCACAGCCTTGGACTGCTTGTGAACGAGCTCCATGCTGTCCTGTCAGAAAGAAGCACAACGAGACGTCAGCCTCCTTACCTGCCAAACATGCTCAGACATCACACCACATAAATTCACTCGACACACTGTTGGGCGTTTGTGCTCAAATGAAATTCAGCTAACCGTTCATAAGCGATTAACATTTGACATGGGACTTTCGTGGCAAGAGATTTGGAATGAAACATGGTACACTTCCTAAGAAACTGACATTCCCTTAATGAAAACCATTATGTGTTCTCATGACAGCAGGAACGTTAAATTAGCTTTTGAAAGGAAACCTAAACAAAAGTCGATTTTACGGGCTTGTGAAAATGCAATTTGTCCAAAAAGCTTATGGATCACAGTTCTTCGGTAATTACATTTTACAGCCCTTTAGCTACAGAGTAAGAACTCGCAGCTCTGCGGCCGCTGGCCAGGCATGTGTAGAAGGAATGCTTATTTTGAATGCCCATACCTGTGGCTGGGACAGCATGTCCAGACTCCAGGAGCACATCTTCCCATCAGTGGAGATGCTGATAAGGTTGTGGGCATTTTGCGTGCCTACCACATTCACACAGTACACTGGGTGCTGCATTCAAACACATTTGATAAAAGGAAAACAAAGTGCAAAGACAGTTAAACAGCAGAAGACGGGGCACAGACAATGGCAGAATACGGGCTTCATGACAAATAACAGCTTGTTCTATAAATCGCACTTTTTCCTTGGACCTCCGTGTCTGTCAGTTCATCTATCTATGATCCCACCATCTAAATCTTTCTGGTGATCACAGCTGGAGTTCATGCAGTATGTACAAGGGATCAGGGAGGAGCAGGAGAAGATGCTGGATTCCCAACAGACTGACGAGTCTGTCCTCAACATACCGTGTGTGCTGCTGCCGACAGCGGAGTCCTCTGCACGGGGGTCCTCTTGCTGCTGCGGTTATCCCACAGCACGATCTGCCCAGAGTAAGTGCCTCCCACCACCAGGTTGGGGTGAAATTTTGCAAAGGCGGCGGACATCACGGCTGACTGTGAGGGGAAAAACAAACAAACCCAAAAAAAAAAAACGACCCCAAACCTCAACATGGGGTATTTTTAAAACTGATGACTGCGGAGCGCAGAAGTGACAGGCTTCTGGAAAATGACTTCAGCGAGGCCGTGTACGTTAGTGTCACATCCAATCCGTGCGCTCGGCCGAACGCGTGCGATAACTTGCTAAAAATAATATACAACCCCCTTTCGATTCAAAGACATGCTCTTTTCCTTAAAATAGCAGCTGGCATGCTGCTTGTTTTTATTTTATGTTTCGCGCATACATTTCCATGACTCAGACCAGGCCATTCAACACACTTTTCTAGTAGAAGCTGAGTTATGACAGGGTATATCAAGTATGATTTATGTCTACATTACTCATGCACGTTTTCTGCCTGTTGAATTTTTGGGGGCTGCCAGTTTAAAGCAATTACTTAAGACTTAAGCTTCTCGGTAATCTTACAACGTCTGATCATACGTTTGGTTTAATTTACGCAAGTGATTGTTCAAAAAACTGACATTGGGGAAAGAAAAAAAAACTCCTTTCCCCACTTAAAATGAATACTTGGGAGTTCACACTTTTTTTGGTTTTGTCTGAGAAAGACGTTTCTAACTACATCCGTTTTTGAGGGAGCACATATGTTTCTACTCAGTGTCTTGTTCTATGTATCCCGGGGCACGTACTTAAAAAAAAAAAAGAGGCTGCCAACTACAAAGCTACATGTTCTTCATATTTCAAGCAATCATTTTTTTTCCCCTCAGCAGTTAAACTGGGCTCTTGTTATGTTACACAATGGCAAGTTAACTTTTTAAAGCATGTTTAAACATCCTCAGCGCTGGCAGAAAGGCAGCTCAAGGCTTCCTTTTGAACTGCTAGGCTTGAGGTCCTCCATCAGCATGTGTTTGCAAATAGATGTGGTCGAGGCGCATGCCAGCCCAGTGAAATCACTATGCGGAGAAGCTGAAGGAAATGACTGGCAGGGGCCCAAACTCATCAGCTCAAACCACCCATTTGGCGCGACAGGATCTCGCATCATACCTGGCAATGAAAGACATACTCTGGTGTGGTTTTCTTGTACTTCATGTTCCACACAAGGGCCACACCATCTGGCTCATGGGGGGCATCCTCGTTGTTGTTGTATGAGGCAACAAGCAGCTCAGGATACTGGTGACAGAAAAATCAGTAAAAATGAATGTCAAGAGGAAGTCAGGATAGCCTCAAGGCCTGACTCCTAACCAAAAAAAAAACGTTACCCTCTGTGGTGTTAGTGAATGCTTGGCTACAGGCGGCAACCACCCGTACAACAAGATTTATTGCTGAGAAACTCTGTCTCAGCACCAGCCTCTTTCTTGCTCATGTGGTTGCTATGCTAAACCTTAAAGTGACTTTTATGTAGATTCTTTGGTTCTGATTTTATTCACCGTGGCAGGGAAGTGCCTCCATGGCTACTATTTGAAGTCACCTATGATAAAAGGCGTTTGAAACTCAAGACTAGCTTACTTATTATAATGGACATCATATATTTCTGAACTCCTTCCAGGAAAAATTACACTCTCTCTCTCTCTCTCTCGAAAAAGCCGAATGCTTTTAAACACTTACCTGAGGTAAACAAAAAGGATTAACCTCTATTTCTCTAGTTTGTATCATCATGATATGTTTAGAATTTCTGCCATGAAAAGTCCCTAGAACAAAGACTTTCAATGTTTTAATATTATCTGCAATTCTAAATATTTGACTTTGGTATGCACGTATAAAATACCTAATAGTTAAACAATTTAAAGTGCTAGACAAACATTGAACACTGTCATTTTCTACTTTATTTTGTAACTTAAAACCCTTAAGCTGATATTTAGAAAATTAGGCTGTCTTTCTCAGTTGTACACATAGCTGAAAGAAGCTCATAAGCTGCTTTGTTTTTGGAATTAACCTATACAGCCATTTCTGCTCCAATGCAATAGCTGTAATGCTGAAAAACACCGTTATAGAAAATCAGGCTACAGAATCTACTGGCTCAATGGGAATTAAGGGGCAAAGGGGCAGAGAGTTCAGATTCCCATTAACAAAGGTGTTTATTTTCAATAGTAATTGGCCATATTATTAGTTTGAATGCATTGTTTCGGCATAACATGTTTTTGTGTAACTTTTCAACAGAAAACTGAGAAAATAGATAAAATGAGACATAATACATCGCTAATACATCGTTTTACATCGCTAAGCAGTGCGAAATTCTGCAGCAGAAGAAATTTCGTAAAAAAACACACCACTAAGCCCAGTAGTGTGAATGAAATCACATTTTTTGCTCTTTGGTTTCTTTCGTACCGCTTTATAACATTAAGCTTTTTCTCCCAGAAAAATCGCTGTCTTCTTCACAAGAACCAGACACTGAACGCTTCGTATCTTTGCCATTCATTGTAACGGCAATATTTCTACTACTGCTCCCAAAGAATGAAAAAATACACCCTGTCGCATAGGCAGATGGATGAAGACTGACGCAGATGGGTGAGAGAATATGCCAGTATCCCAAGCTTGTGTCGCTGCGCTGAGGCTGCGCAGACGTTTTTACTCCACGTTTGTGACTAGTTCTAGTACACTTGAATTGCATTAAAGCCCACATGACCCGCGTTAAGGCTAAAGCATTCCTTAATAAATCAATGGCATTATAGCAGCCAAGTTGCCTTAAGGAAACTCACGCTATAGTAGAGATGATTGTACCTGTACTTTCATAGCTCACACATCGATGTGGAATTCCACCCTAACTTCATTCTAAAAACAAAACCCGGCAAATTTAAATTGTGTTTTGTATCGTTTAGATCGGCATCTGTCCATCCACCTGGCAACCAAAAGCTCGTCGGAGCCTCTCTCTAAATGACAGTACGATGTATTTTACCTGAGGAGACCAATCAAGGCAGGTGACAACACGGTGTTTGGACCAACGCTCATCCATGAACTGCCTGTTCAAAGACAGCTTAGTCCCGGCTTGGATCTCTCTGTAAGATAAATGCACAGTCAGACTACTGGCAGGCAGGCTCACTAGCACACAGCGTGTGTCCATCTGTCTCTGTTACGATGTAGAAAACTTTTTTGTAATCAGTTAGATGACCTTCATACAGATTTTATAATCATGTGACCAAATTATGATGTATAATTTGGACATGTTTTAATCTGTCGCATTCACTCTATTTCCAAACAGAGCTTGAATAATTATTTTTCCTTAAGATAATCATTACAAAATACATCTGGATCAGGGACAGGAGACACTTCAAGCCTTAATGCATGCAATGTACTGAGATAAGCACAACATTAAACCCTATAAATTAGGCTCAGTCGTTTTAAAAGCAAACTCTTCAGCTGAAGGCTCAATTTTGTCTGCTTAAGTCATTTTAAAGAGTTTTTGAAGGACTTCGTGTAATTAGCTTTGATCTGACAATGATCAAATGTAAAACAATCTTTTAATGTGATCATGGTTATTCTTAGAATTTTGAACATGCTTCTTTTGTGTGTGTAGAGATTAAAGACAAGACTAATTAGGTGACCATGGCATCCACAAATACACAAAAACCTGGCCTATGAGCATTTCTCCTATCGATATACAGGCATCCAAACATTCTAATTCACTTCATTGCATTCTCCTATTCCTTTCGACTATTTCTAGCTCTGCCACAATGTTATGAGTTTATGGACATAAAACGAATTGGTTGAAATCAGCCACCCATGTGCCAGGACAACTTTCCCTTTAATATTCCTATTAAGTAGCTGTCCTAAGGTTTTAATGATTTGGGTATTAAGATCCCCTCTACCCTTCCAGGAAATTCATTCGGAATATGTCTGAGATCATTAAAATAAAAGCAGATGTGGCTAGACTCATCTCCATTACAGGTTAAATTACATGGCAGAAATACGTCCTTGAGTTCATTTGTTATTTTGCATTATCCCCATGTCATTCCTTCTACTGCATTTAGAATAAATTAATTCTATTGTGACTAGTTTTACTCAGAGAATTAAGTAACCAAGAATTTTGCCAGCCTCACTGCAGCACTCCAAAGTTTACGGTAGTCTGGCTCTACCCAATTTTAAACATTACTGATGGCTTCTCGGCTGCGAACATGGTTTCGTCTAGGTACACCAGCGTTACGGTACTCGTTTGAGGAGCTGTTAGTGAATCCAGTCAGTACAGGATTCTTTATTTCCTGGGCCTACAAGCTGACCTGGAATATATTCCCTTTTCTGACTGGCTCCCAGCTCTTTATCTGTCCACCCCGGCCTACAATAAGTATTCAGATTCCTGGCAAGATGGCGCCTGCACATAGCAGACTAAAAGGAAACTTCTGAACTCCCTGGTTTTCCCAGTTTACATGTCTCAGACTGCTCGGCCTTTTGCTCTGATGCACATCCAGGGGAACTGCTTTGTCTGTCTCTATAGAAGTTCTTTCTAAGGCCTAAAATCAGTCCTGGAAAAGAGGACTAGACACAGTGGATGGTAGTCCATTTTAGGATGCAGTCTGAGATAATGTCTTCTCTTCTTCTTCATAAAAAAACATTTTTAGCACACCATTAATTCAATTTAAATTTGTGCACAGATCACATGCAACACCAGACCAGTAATGTCACAGGTGGATCGCACTTGATCCTCTCTACCCTTCACGCACTTAGAAAGTGCTCACCACCTATCTACATGTTTTGGGAATATCCTGAGAAATTGCTCTTGGGTGTACTTAAGAGGTGTGTTTTCACCTATGCCAATAAGCCCCAGACTATTCCTACTCAATGATGATTCCTGGATTACTGTAAATCTTCAGACACAATGTCTCTTGCTGGTAAGGCTTACTGCAGCAAAAAAAAATGATTCTGCAAGGCTGACTAGAGATCGACTTACCCTTCAAACGCACTTGGTGGCATTGTGTGAAAAACACTGTTCTAATGGAAACAGTAAACTGCACTGTGGCTGGGCAAAAGCCTTTTTAATTTTGGTTGAGCCTTTTTGTTTTTCATAACCCACTTTGTTTTTTCTTTGTTTTTATCTTCCTGTAGGCTTCCAGATTATTAAGGTGTATTTTGCACATTCATTGTTTTAGTAGCATTCGCCTTTTTGCTAGAACTGGCGCACTTTCTGAAAACGCGCCGTTAAAAAATCGAAATGCGGCCTCCGCCGGCTCCGTACCCCTCCTTCTCCTCCAGGTCCCGGCCGCTGTAGTCGAAGAAGACGTCCACCCGCTCGGACAGGGCGCGCTCCAGGATGCGGGTGCTGTGATCGAAGAAGGACAGGAACTCCTCAGAGTGCAGGATCTGCAGCTTCTCCTCCTCGGTCAGCTCGTGGGGGGGAGCTGGGAGACACCGCAGAAGCCCGTCACTCAGATGCTCGTGTCCAGGGAGAGCGTCAGTAACAATAATTGCTTACACATCTACAGTATAGCGCTTTTCTGGACACTCCACTCAGAGCCCATCACAGGTAATGGGGACTCCCCTCCACCACCACCTCCGCCCCCACCTGGATGATGCACCTGTCTGCTCACCGCACATCAGCTATCGGTGGGGAGGAAAACAGAGTGATGAAGCCAATTCAGAGATGGGGATTATTAGGAGGCCATGATTGGTAAAGGCCAGGGGGAAATTTGGCCAGCACGCCAGTTTAACACCCCTGCTGTTTTCGAGAAACACCCTGGGATTTTTAAAGACCAAAGAGAGTCAAGACATCGGTTTTATGTCTCATCTGAAGGACGGCGTCTTTTTACAGTATAGTGTCCCCGTCACTACAACGGGGCATTAGGACCCACACAGACCACGGGGAGAGCGCCCCCTACCTGCTCCACTAACACCTCTTCCAGCAGCAACCTTAGCTTTCCCAGGAGATCTCCCATCCAAGTACTGATCAGGCTCACACCTACTGAGCTTTAGTGGGTTGCCAGTTGTGAGTTGCAGAGTGATATAGCTGCTGGCTATAACATGGCAGGGCTGCCCTCTGGGGTTTCAGTCTACAAGCAGAGAGCACAGTACCGCAGCTGGATTCATTCTAGAGCCCTGAAGTATTAAAATGGGATTCCCCCTCCCAAATTGGCATATACATCTTTCAGTTTTCCTGCAGTCCTTCTGCACCATTTACATGGATATCAGTCCTTGAGAACTGCACAAAGCAGAAAGCCATAAGCTAAACATATGCTTCTTCTGCGTCCTCTACATTTTGTATTTGGACTTTTGTTGTATTAAACAGCAGACAAGCGTTTTACACAAAATATTTGTAGGCAAATTTGTGTATATACAAATTTGTGTCGGCGTTGAACAAATAAATGCGGGAAATTTCACAGATTCAGATGTGGCGGGGCACATTGTTGAGCCTATAGCACGCTGGTGCTTTCGTGATCGTGAGCATCACCCTCGATACGGCTCATAAACCGAAAACAAGTACAAAGGCAAAAAAAAAAATAAGTAGGAAGGGGGAAGGCAAGGCTAGAAAAGTGACTGATATAGAGTTACAATCGAGATTTTGAAGTTGAGGGGAGGGATGATAGTGACCAGTTTGGCACATATATATGGCAAGAATGAATCTTCAATTTGTGCAATTGGAGACAGAGAGAAAGCTATTCAATAGAGCTATGCATCTACTGTTTTCAGTGCATTTTATTATTCAATTTTATTGGATCTACTTTGTATACTGTAGGGCACTGCTTTTGCTGTATTACTCTTTTCATAATACTTTAAACTACATACACACATACTAATACACTTACCATTGGTTTTACTTGTTTAAGGCAGGGAAATAGGAGGGTCTAAGGGCAGTGTTCTGATTATAAGTGATTTTAGGTATACACAATATGTCAGGAAACTAACTACTGCTAACATAACATGTACTTAAAGTTGCTCATTTCAACATGGAAGAGTTCTACAATTACAGAGGGCCCTCAAGAAATTCAGTAGCTGCACCACATATCATAATATGACCTTGTACTGGTCTCAATACAGCTGGAACATATAGATTATAATAAACTATGTGGAACATAATCTATATAGCATGTGATCCCTTAAAGATACATCACAACATTTCTGAAAACTGTAAGTGAAATGTCACTCACAAAAAGATCTAAAGAAACTGATTCTTTGAGACCTAAAAAAATCTAAAGAGTAGAACATATAGTAATATTCAGAAGCATTACTGGATAGCATGTGAATTCATATAGGACGCGTGAAAGAAAAATACTCGGACGTCAATAAATAATCAATCTCATACTTTGCCTCCCAAAAATTTAGAAAACAAGTATCGGAGAGCTAAATGGAGGCTTGAGACTGTGAATGATCTGAAGTCAGAATCTACATTTAGTAAAAGTGAATATGACAAATGGAGAGATGTCTCTTATAGGGTTAGGGTTCTCCCAGTCTAGTACAAGCAGAGGAGTTTGGTCTCACCTTCCTCTTCCTCATTCTGCTGAGGTTTCTCCTCCTGGAGTGCCACCACTGGTTTGGGAGGGGCGATCTCCTCCTCTTCATCTTCTTCTGCACAATATAAGCACACCAGCATCAGAGCTCACATTCACACTGCTTGACGCATCTAGTGTTCGTGTCATTCGGACAATAGCTTAACACCTTAGCATCTTTTAAATCTTGCCCAGTTGATGTCCTAAGTCTTTGGATATTTGTGTGGTATTTTTAAATGTCAGTGTAAATGTGGTGATTTCAGAGCTACTCAAGCCTTGGTCCTGTCGATTTTGTTCATCACAGAATGTTGGTCCAAACAGAACATTCATTTTTCAAATGAATCTGACTGTCCCCCCCTAGATACAGGCATTTTGATAAATACATTCCACATACTGGCATTCAGCATTTCCAAATACATAACATTATTTGACACTGCACTAGATATCACCATACTGACAAGTTCAAATTCAGTACAATACAGAAAGTCACCTCCTACATACAGTACAGAAGAATCAATCGCGTTAACTGCAAAATATGCCAGGACTATATACTGTATGTGTTCCTACCTGAATGCTAAGTTGTTTTCACAAACTTTAAGCTGCATAATCACAATAAATATATGCTCCTAGCAAAACAGCTCTATATCAGGCAGATCAGGAAAATCACGGCTAACTGATGTGCAGACTTCTGTTCTTCAAAACCAGCAATGAATCACTGTGACTGACAAGCTGCTAGGACCAGAGGTAGTGGAGGAGCTCAGGATTAATAAATGTGTTGGTCCTGATGGTATTCTCCATTGGACTTTAGGCAACAAGAGATATTGCCTATAGACCTGGGCCTTTAACAAATCTTCCAAAGGCCACTCAAAAAGGGGGGTAAAAATTGTACCTTTGCACTTACAAAGGAATGCTGAACATCATAGATAATCATTTAAATTATATTTTTAACAGGTATGGTGTAATTATTCCTGTACCTCCACTAAACTAATCTAAATTGCCATCACTGCTGTATACCCTCATCAAGACACAAGACATATAGACATGATAAAAGGCACCGCACAAGCTGACAGTTTTTGCCAGGTGAATGGCTGACAACAGCTCCTGCAAACATGTAAAAGAAAACACAAAAAAAATCAATGCAGATTCTGTCCTCAAAATCTTAACTCGCAGGATGTGGAGGACAAGTCAGTACTTTATCAGAAAGTCTGTTTAGCTTGCCGCCCGTTACAGGACAAAGCCACAGCTGAGTGGAAGCCAAGGTCAGCTCTCTGAGGCATCATTTCTGAATGACTGTATATCGCATTACAGCAACACATCAAAACAGCAGAAACATTCTGAAAACGTGCATTTCAAACCTAACACGAACATACTTTTAATTAGGGGAAGGTCCGTTACTAAAACGATGGAATCAGTACTGCCTGCTTCACTTTTGTGGCAAAGAGTGGCACAAATGCATGTGAAAATGATCTTTTCTTGCGCCTCCTTTTAAAAAGCACGGTTTCTGAATACTTTAGAAAGCACCAACCCCACGTTGTTGGCATCAGCGGTCCAGATATAACTGAACAAAAGGGAGCTCATGGACACCGAAATATCAACCGGATAAAAACATTACAGCACTTTTACACGTTTAATATTTAGTTGGAATGGATCGGCAGTCATTTTCACAGCACCATTTCCTTCGTGCGCTCGGAATACTCCTATGGGAGTGATCTTTTCAATTACGCTGTTCCATCCCGGAGAGCCTACAATGTGTAAATTGAATATTGCTGTGTGCCTGCCTTGCATTTGTTTGGCTTGCCTACACAATATCAGTTCCTTGAAAGATCCTGTTCTTAAAGAAGCAAGGCTGTCATTTGTGAAGAGCAGGAACAGCAGGGGTCTGACTCTCAACAACTGCTTCCCTGTGTTTAATAGGACGCCAGCTATTCAACAGGGAGTTCACTTGTTAGTACAGCCATCTCCTCCATGTCCCAGTAACAAGTTGCCCTTCCACATGAGGGGTGATGGGATAGAGGATGGGAACCAGCTGCCTAAGCCTGGTCCCAGCATCCAGGCCAGCTGACAAGACAGCACACACCAGATGGTAGTGCTGGGATTGTCTTTTTCCGCTATGAGGTGGCACTGGGATGGCACAGAGGTTTTCCGCCTGACTGCCTCCAGTCATGTCTCTCCCCAAAACAGTAAGCCTGTGCAATTACCGACCCACTGGGGGGTCTTAAGACAACTATTCAACCCAAGGACTTATAACAAAATACAGCTTGTAGGGCTTACCAGCTGCCCTACCACACACAGGCAGAAAATATCAAATCTTCTCTAACTGCCAAGGATTCAAGAGTTTCTGGACAAAAAAGCACGCATATTTACTTGTACACACACCTATTTTATTAACGCTCTGTATACGTCAAACGCGTGCGTGTACAGGTCCGAAAATGGAAAAACGCTTCCTGCGCGAGGAGAACGCCCCTGTTTAAATTAACTTAATCTGGAGCAAACTGTCATCTGCCAATTCATTATGAAAAGGGAACAGTGTTTTTTTTTTTTTCCTCTTCTGGGGGGGTGGTGGTGCTGGTGGGGAGGGGGGCGCATTCTGACAAGTTTACAGAACTGGGTTAATGGCATGAGCGATTTCAATATATGCTCATACTTTCAAACCAAATGGAGAAGGTTAAAATCTTTCCTTTCAAGGGCCTCAATCAGCCTTAAAGGAAAACAGTAATCACTGTCTTTCAGCCAGCCCAGCCGCATTTGTCAGCCCTTTCCCGTCAATGCAGCCAGTGCAATCAACCTGCCAAGCATTCAGAACGGAAAGACAATCTGAAAATAAAGGGTATAATGCACCTGCCAGTGAAAATGGCCATTTCAAGAAAAGCTAGTGATCTTGGTGACCCCGCTGAGGAGGCGGTAGTGCAAAGGGGAAAGAACGCTTAAAAGAATTCTCAGTGATCTCCGATCTCTTGCACGCTGACACTTCCCCACAAAGCGTGCCAATTATAGCTTTTGTGCCACTTAAGAAATGAAAGCTTTTTTTTTGGGGGGGGGGGAGGACGGGAGGGGGAGAAATAATCACATAGAGCAATAGAAAGACGTTCGTTCTTTGTCGCCGGACAATATATTAATGCAAACGCAGCCTCGGCTCGTGGGGGTCTGGCGTTGTTCAAGTACAAAACTCACGTCCTTTACACCCCACTCTGCCGGTGTGTGCGCACCTCCAAAAAATCCGCCTCTGAAGACGCACCAAAAGGCTCCGAAAAATCTGACTTCGACATCTTGATTTCATTTATTAAGAAGACAAAACAGACCCGTAGATAATCTAGGCATCTTTTCGGAATGAATATAATTTGAAACACATGCATGCTGTACGCACACACTCCAAAATACAATTTGCTTGACTAGAGATTCCGTTTTCAAAAAGCAGTTTGGAGGGCTGACATGTTTTTAAGCCAGGGTTTACACGCAGTGCACCCCGCTTATGAACAAAACTGTTCGTTTCCCATCATGTGTATCATTTCCATTCATGTCATCATGTGTATGGGTTTTTTTGTAATTCATGATTAAATGCTTAATTTCCATAACATTTAAAAGTCATTTACACTGGACCCAGTTTGAAACTAAAATTAGATCATTGAAGGAAAAAATAATTTGCTTGCTATTTGATTTGATTTGCATGTTACCTTTAGACTCGCAGTCTACTAGGATCGCTTTTTTGTTTGATGCTTACAGAATGAATGCAAAAACATTACATGACTGGAGAAATGAAAATAATTTAAATAAACTTAATTGGGCTTTAAAAAGGAAATAAAAACTCCCTCCGAACATCTATACACTTCAAGTTCAATTTAAAGAACGGAAGCTGAAATATATTGGTTTCGAATTCAAAATTACAGTACTGTGCTCCTTACTTGGTGATGCTGTGTGAATTGTCAGCAAATTATCATCAATGAATCTGTGAAAGGTCAAACATATGTGCAGATGGAAGGATATTTTAATTGGTCTTCTGAAAATCTATGAAATGTTTTAAAGCCGCACCATCTGTGATGCTAATTTGGCTAAAGCCATAGTCAGTTATGTAATGGCAATAACCATGAATGACATAAGTATCAAACTTACATGCAAAAAGAAAGTGTCATGGAGCTTTTCATTTGCCTTTGGAGAGTGAAATATAATAGCGCACAAGCTGATATGTGTAACCCACAGGGTGATGGTTGACCCTTTTCATTTAAATAATGACATGAATAAAAAGAATCTACATTTTAATAAAGTTATTGTCAGCTTTGCTCCTACGATACATAGTGCTTTAACGACAGTATGTTATACACTTAACACCTGAATTCTTTGCCGTGAGATTTAGAGTCAGACTGGAAAGCATCACAGATAGTAGTACTTAGAATTACCCCACCTCTCACCTCTTTGTCAATGAATGCCAATGACAAGGTTAATGAACCACCAAGGTTTTCTCTTATTCTTTTCAAAAATGTATTTCAACGTCAAAATTGTGACACTGTTGTAGAAAGATGGAAAGAAAAGCTGGGCTGTAAATTAGGATGTACCCAGCAATAACGCTAGAGCCAAGTTCCAGTTGTCTGAGTAATGTGTTTCTGTGAAGCAGGTTAATCAAAGTTAAATCATCTGTGAAATAGGTGGCTTTTGTTAAGCTGAGTTTCCACACTTCCAGTGTTAGTTATGTTTCAGGATAAACTTGGCAGAACAAGGAGACATGTTAAAAAACAACCTCTAGGAGGCAGAGAGAAGTAATGTTTGTAAAACATTTCTCAGTGTGTTTTACGAAACAGAACAAAAGGTCTATATAGCTCAACCTGGGATTTGAGAATCTGAAACAAGTTAAATAAACTGTGTTTATCAGTTTTTTAAATTGCTGCATCAGTAATGCCTTTAACGATTGGGCTTCAGAAAGGTTTAGCATTACTGATCAGTGAAGGGGAATTAGGTAGTTTCTGTATGATAGAGGACTGCCACTTCTTTAGGCATTTTGACAATGTGAAGACACTCAGCAGTTAATGGAGTGGTTGAGCTCTTCATCACTGGTACCACAGTACTCCTCCACTCTGACGTGTCCCACACTCACCACATACTTATTTATCTGAAACGGGCTGACAGTGATTCGTGACTTCTTCTTCCAGACAATTCACATGTTCAGGAAACAGTATGGGGCTGGACTCCCATTCAGCGAATGTCAAACATGAAGAGGTGAAAGTGCTCTGCTAAACATATGGTGTAAGACAACAAATTCTTAGTTTGTTTTCACATAACATGATCAGCTCAAACACGTCTTGATGTTAACCAGTGACGCTAGCACACTGCACAAGGCATCTTGCTCCGAACTTCAGTCTACTTTTCTATTTTTTGCAAGTGTAGCCTTTTGTTTTCGTGCATTTTTAAAAAGACATACTCATCAGTAAATCTAATTTTTGCAACCAGACGCTTCACTGTGTCCTGCTGTATATTTAAAAACATGGAAAACTATACACAAGAATATTTTAAAATAGTATTAAAACAAAGGACCCAAAGTATACTTTTTCTACCCCGCAGACCTGATGCAGAATTTCAAAAGAAGAAAAATGCACAGGAATACAGCCTCTGTTTTACATGTTCATCTTTCAGTGCTGTCTTAATAAAAGGAGACTGTCTTGGGCTCTCAAAAGGATGACAAGGAATCAGACCTACTCTGCTACTTTCATGCATCTTGACTGTCTTCAAGGAATCCAAGTTATTTTCCATGGACTGTGTCCTGAAGTATCAGAACTGAGATCAGGCTAACACGTCAGTGTACGTAGCATCCTTTTTACTCTGAAGTGACCAATCATCTCTGAAGTGACACTGCGAAGGGCAAAAATCAGCCTTTTGAATTGCGAATTAATACCCCTCAACATTTCCAAAGTTCACGTTTTAATTACCTACACTTTTCGTATCATACTTTGTATACTGTATTTTGGATCCACCAAACCATCAACAGCAACACCTGCAAGAGACATTGTTAGAGTTAAAAATGTATTTTGCTTTCTTTTTCTTTCAGTAGTCTCTTGATTGCTTTTTAAAATGTAATTTATTTTTAAAAATGTCCTTTTTCTCCCTTTCCTTGCTAGAAAAGAAAAGGCTTAGAAGTTCTGGAAATGGCAGTGGTCTCGGTTTTCAAATGACTAGAAAGATATGCTATTTTAAACTAAAAAAACATAAGAAAAATACCATTTCATGAATGTACAGCACAGAAGTGGTGGCATCAATTACTGTACACATCCAAGGAAACAGTGCAGCTACATTTGTATGTATGTCCAGTGACAGATCATTTATTGAAACAATACAGAAATGAGATGTGAGAGCAAAAGGCCAATTAGAACATAAAAAATAGTGATTACATTTAAAGTAAGACACTTGTGACAAGAGGCAATTGAATTCTTTCAATGGTAAAAACTGTATTAACCTCATTTTGAAGTCCAAGTGATTAAAATAATCAAATTTAATTAAATATCAAATTTAAACACTCCACAACCTCTTTTACTCCAGAAATGTATGCAAAACGCTGTTCCATATATTACATAGCCTATCACTTCCTATGATTTCTATTTTTTGCATTTTTTCATTAAAATCTTCGATTCAATCAGCTGGGATATATAAAAAAAACTGCACCACGATATAGCAAATGTTTGAGAACATTCCCGGGTTTGTAGACTTATTGACTGGATGTAGATAATTTTATTTTATTATCTTGTTTTTCTTTTCATTCCCAAATGTCATTGAACTGTGCACCTCATTTTGACAAAACCGACACCGGAATTATTCGACCACAGAAAATTCACTTTTCTTCATCTGTACGTCACAGGCACAACGAGGTGGGATTTATAGCCGCTGCAGAAACATAAAAGGCAAATAATACTGTACCAAGGTGAGCCTGCAGTAGCCCTCCGAAAAAGAGATGCAACCCTACTTTCGCAGAACATATTAATAACAAGAGTCCAAAACAGCTAAACTTTCTGCCTTTTAGATCTCATCTTGACATTTAAATGTACTTGACGAGACTGTTCACTTCCTGACAGAAAAGTCTATTAGAACCAGCCCAGTGAATCTCACATTAACGGTACATCGAACAAGTTCTGCCTTCTGTACACAGTAGCAATTAGGAGCCGTAATCAGCTGTCTGAGCCTTCAGAAGGAAGCCACCTGACTAGACCGCCTCTCCCTCAGTGCAGTCTTTGTCTCACTACATTCTACTCCCCCTGCCGCCTGCTGACCTTGAGAGCTCACCAACGTCTGCTCTACTTGACAGTATGATGAATCACTCAACCAGTTGATCTATGTGGTGCCACACAGAATATCAAGCGTGTGCTATGATAATTCATCTTTCTGCGTCTCGTGGAGGATGTCCACAGACCACAACTGCCTGATCTTTCAGTCAGATCAGCTTGAGGGACTGCAAGGCATGAGTTCCAATGTACAGGCCTAAAAAAGTTGGATGCCCTACTTACAGTACTTAACAACGAGTCTGTATATATGTATATAACAGGGAACAAAGAAAATGGAGCCAGAAAGGGGGATAAAATCAGTCAGTGTTTATATGGACAGGCAACCTGAATGAACTGAAATACTGTTTAAAAAATTCAATGGTATAACAGAATGTGATAGAGACCTACATATAAGATAAGAGATCAGTTTATTATCCATATTCGGTTTCTTGCATTAGGATTTTGTCTTTTCACATACCCCATCTTGCTCTCCATGAGACACACAGAAAGGGAGAGAAGCTTGGGGTCAGAGCGCAGGGTCAGCCATTGTACAGCACCCCTGGAGCAGTTGGGGTTCAGGGCCTTGCTCAGGGACCCAACGGAGATTCCTCTGCCGGCCGCGGGATTTGAACCATCAACCTTCGAGCCACAGGCGCAGATCCTTAGCCACAGAACCACCGCTCCGCCGCTTTGTGTATTGATGTATCAATTACATATTGATGTAATGGCAAAACCCTTCCAGCTAAAGTTAAACAACTTTTACGGATGTCTTTTGAACACAATAAGGCTAACTTTACTCCAAACACTTCACGACGAGACTGCGGATCCAGCTCCAAAAGCCCTTTCTGCGTGAATACTAGCGCCAGTCTCTATATCTGTGGATTCACTTACAATTTCGATGGAACTGCACTGTGTTTTTGTCCACGGTCTGAATGGAGAAAAGGCAACTCGCATTCCTCAAAGACAGTTTACCACAAACAGTCTGGCTGGTTCCGAGTGGAAAAAAAGAATCACAATCTTCAGAAGTCGGAAATGTAAACCCAGCTGAAACGTGTCCAACGTTTCGATGCCAAAAACCTTTCTGAGAGCAAATGTGGTTTAGGACCAGTACCAGAACAGATCTCTACCACAGGATCAGCATTCTGTGGTCAAGGGTACTCTCAAAGTGCAGGGATCAAAACTCACTCAGCAATAGTAATAAACACATTCTTTCAAAACAGGTTTAGCACTCTAAATATTAAGTTTAATTTTAAAAATAATTTGTTTAAATAACATGAAATACAAGAAGACCACAATGCTCCTATCAGTTGATTCTCACTGCATTTGATGGTCGGTCTGCTCAAATTCTGACACATTTCCAAATGACTGTTAACAGAAATGTGCGCTGTCTAAAATATCTGCCATATGACTGTTTCCATCCCTAGTCCCTGGGGTTTTTAAAATCACCTCCTCAGCAACACATTGATGGATATGGAAGTTCATCATACAACAGCCAAACACAGGATCCATAATCACAGCAACAGTCTGTCCTCAAAGTGGAATTGTGCTACACTGTGTTTGCCTTATCACACAAGCAACTGCACCACGCCAGTACAATCCTGACACCGATTCCCTAAGGAATCAGATTTTGAGGAACAAAAACCCCCACAAATCTTCCTATTTCATCTAGGTGTTCAAACATTTTTAACTGCCTTACAGTTTTCTTTACACACAAGTAAAATACTCCTTCGACAACTCCACTACTCTAATAAAATTCCACTCTAAAAAACAGAGGTTTTTTTAGACGAACATGTCATGAATGGACTCTGAATGAATTAAAAAAGAGTTTTACTAGTTATCAATAGTTATAGTATTAGTTAATAATCTAAGGTCTGCACAGCAATTTATTACGGTAATTTAAAAATTAATTTGCATATAGAATCACAAAGGACGTGTTTTTAACAAAACAATTACAAATATTCACACAAGCATAACAAAGATCTGTATTAGGTTACAGTGAACACTTGAAATTAAAAAGCCAAGTTCCCCTCCCAAACACTCATACATGACACTTATTCCAGTACTGCTCCAAGTATTCCAATACTAATGTACTGAGACTGTGACAGACATTAGCAGAGAATACATACATAAAATTACTAATCACGACCACCTTTCTTTCTAATACTGAAAACTAATTGCATAGTGAGCCACAGGACGCTTCGTCTTTTGGGGGTGGCCGGTAATTGTGGACCTGTGTGCAAATTTAATCTTCCCTTTGCCTTCCTACATATCCCCTGGCCTCCGCAATTTTCTTTAGCTTTCATCTTTCTGTATGGAGAGGGCAGATAATTTCCACTCAATGTATGCTTCCTGCTTCCATTTGTATGATCATATAAAATGGGTAGCCACGACCACAGCAAAGAGCTATAAATATTTAGTTCAAAAACACTGGAGAAAGACAGAGCTGTCCTGATTGTTCTCTGGGTCTCCTACTTTTGCTATTAGATGGCTGGCGTTAGCAGCCGTTCAAAAAAAAATGCAAGTCTGAGAAGAATGTTGAAGTCACCCATGTTTAACGTAAGCCTTAACTAGATGGATACCTACCTTCCTTCTGCTCCGTCATGACGGGTGTTTGAGTTTCTTTGGTGTAGGACACAATTTCACGTGGCGGAAAGTCCACATGAGTGACTTTAGCCATTCCCAGCTTAAGGGGACCTCGCCTAAAACAATGCAGAAATATGAAACAAATATGACAAAGAACACCAAGTGAATAGCATTTAAACATCAATTTGCTTGGAACACAGCAGGACACAAAGTAATGCCAAAAATATGGTACATGGGATACAACAATTAATTCTGTCTTTCTTTGACTTTTACCAAAACTAGGCAAAACAGACATGCTAATAGCAATGCAGAAAAGCTTAGGAAAGTTAGTATTCGCCATGGTCTCAAATGAAACCTCTTTGATGGGCTTCAAACTTGCCCGAAGTGCACGGACTTAACTGACGGAAAAACAAGAGCAGACAAAGACATTGGAGGTCTGAAAAGGAAGGAAGACAGGTACCCCAGATCAGAATCAGAGTGAAGCTGCAGAACTGATGGATCAGTGTCCCAGTGCAGCGTCCTGATTAGAGGCACAGCGACAAGGCAGCGTTAGTAAGACAAGCTGGATATTAGTGAAAAAGGAAAACATTTCACGGATACTTAGAACTAACAGAATCAATTTTTTTCATTGAAGAATATTTAAGTTTAAGTTACAACACCCCATTCAAATGTTAAGAGAAGCTTTTGTCTTTAATCCAAGCGTGTCTAAAATACGTAGAAACAGTCAAAAGTTCATTTTTTCTTTAATAGTGTTACTTATTTGTCTCAAAAAGAGACACGGACACCCCAGCTCACAAATGAATTGATTAAACAGTGTACAGCATTAGAACGACTTGAAAGGGGTTTCCAAACTCATCCGGTTTCGAATGCAAAAAAAGACACAAGACTGGTTTGTTGTGCGCTACATGTATTATATGATTGCCTTGGGCACAAAACATGCACCCATGTGCACAGGAAATTGACATATTGGTAAAGGAAATGAGTCAACACGTAACCCTTTAGGTAAAGGAAGAGCTGTGTGGCCCCGGTGGGACAAAGGGGAGAGCTCGAGTTACCACAGGGGGACGCAACTATAATTATAGGTTAAGCACAGCCCAAGGCATTCATATATATATTTTATTTTTAATTCGTTTAGCACCTTCTGCTAATTCAATAAGCACTTTTTAAAAAGCTTGATCTTAAACCGAAAACGGCAGGTTGTGTACGAAATCTAAAGCCATTAGTAACTAATATTAAACAGAATTTCTTTGCAATTTCAAATCTACATGAGTTTTTAAATGATGCAATCAGTATGGGTATAAGCGGGAAGGTGGGGGGGGGGGAGAGAAGAATTCTTTAATCGCATAAAATTTAATGCGAAATTCAGCCTTATTTACAAATTTCGCCCATTTATCTCACAGGAGGAAAACTCTCAGGCACCGGGAGGCAGTTACCAATTGTGAACAAAAAAAAACAATGTTGTGGAAAAATGTACTGCATGCAACGCAGGGAGAAACTTGTTGAATATAAAGACACAAGCGGCTACGTTCGTCTTCTGCAATTTGAGATAACCACAATTACTGCCGGCATTACTACACCCATATTTTCTACAATACAAATGTAGTATCAGTATTAAATCAGAAAAAATACTGACATTCATGATTAAATGCTAACTCGTATAAGCACACCGTATTTATTATCATGTCACATACTGCTCTTTTAAGTATTTTTCCAGAGGGAAAAAATCCTATTATACCTCTATAACCTAAACCCTTGATTAAGACCTGCTCAGGAATGTCACTTGAACAGTGTATTTGAGACACTCAGGGATGTGTAAACTTACTGAAACTTCTGTATGATCCATACAAGTGGCAGTACGACTCTGACCCTGCCGTGCCCTGATGTCACGATTAGCAACGACACCGACTCTGAAACAAGCGCTACAGACTTGCCTCCGTGTCAGAAAGTTAGAAAAGGCAAAGGCGACGCCAATCCTTTTTTACACGGGGATTATTCTTAAACATAAGCTGCCGGCGTGATGATGGGAGACAAAACTCCGACTTAGTCAGAAAATTAAGCAGGAGGGAAGGGGAGGGGAAGCAAACATAAACGCACATAATCCTTCAGCTTCGTCCAAACTTACAGGGGGGCGTCTTTTTAAACCCGTGTGTGTGTGTGTGTGTGGAGGAGGAGGGAGGTCAAAGACATACTGTAAAAGAATAACTTCTCCCTTTTGCGTAAAGACAGTACTGCAATGAGAATACCCCCTGCCTGCCAGTCACGGTGTGGCATGTTGTCTTGCCCTTTGGCACACGCCTCCCTAGAGGAGGAAAGCATTATGTCATTAAAATATTACACCGAGATTACCATACCTAGCTCCAACGGCGCCATCGCCTGAGTCTTGGCTTCCAGTCTCGCTGGGCGTGCTCACAGACTTGGAGGATGGAGACATAGGTGGAGGGACTAAATAGTGAAACAGACAGGTATCCGCTGTTACTACTCGGAGTGGCTGCGCTGTGCGGAAAGTTGCAAACGTAATTTCACATGGGGAGGATCAAATGAGAAGGAGATGAGCCCAACAGGCAAAAGAAAAGGGAAAGAAAAAACCATGGAAGGGGAATGAGTAGCAGAAAAGAGAAGGAAAAAGAAACATGGTTATATTCCATGCCGACGTCTCCATGCCAAGTGTGCAGTTAAGGCAATACAGACAACAGGCTTCACTCACAAACAGCTCCGTTAAACAGTCACCATCTACTTTATAGTTAACAGTTACTATTCACAGAAAAGTAACAAAGAGAGGAAAACAGTCAGCAAGTAAGGGCATTTTAATGCTGGTACTCCAGAGTAAATAACTTATTTGCGTTCAATGGAAGAGAAACTCATGGGAAGTAAATTAAGTTCAGCATTTCTAGATTGTTTAAAAAATTGGTTTTGATGCTGAAGCACAAAACAAAGGAACTCAAAAATACTCTTTAGTACATATCTAATTCAGTAGTATGACTTGCAGGTCAAATAACACATAACTAGCAAAAGGAATCTGCCAAATTTTGTGTACCAGCATTAAACGGAAAGCTGACAAAATGTCACCTGACTTATGTGTGAGGTTTCTATACAGATTCTGATGTAGTGATATGAATGCATGCAGCACTGTGCTTCTCATGCTAAATCATTCACATCTAGCATTTAGAGAAATACTGAACAAAAGCAGGAGATAATTTTTTACAGTAATAATGTCCCACTTCAATGTATTAAATAACCTCTTTGCTTAAAAATCCCAGGTAGAAAAGTGCCATTTCTATATAATGATGTTGTAAAACTGTGGCTTAAATGGTAACCAATGTGCTAAAATAGCAAAACAATAAAAATGCACAAGTGACTGTAAATTAACATGAAAAATAAACCTGTTTTTCAGACAGATATGTAACATGAAGGCAAAAGAGTTTTAAATTTAAAACAAACGTTGCTCCTAATTTACTGTTTTAACACAGTGGTACTACATTGGGCTACTCCTTCTAATCTTACTCTTAAATTCCACTAGTTGTATAATTATAATTCATAAACCTTTGTTTTGCATTTAGTACTACAGCCACTCCAGAGGACTGGACTATAGTGGTAATATGAAGCACTTCTGCCATCTACTGGTGACACTCTAAACTTCTTACTAATGTGATGGAAATGGCAATGATCCCTCAATACATCATTTATTCAGTGTTGCACTAAAGTGAGCAAAAAAGACTACACGATATCCCCGTTTACACTTCTGAGCAATAACCCTCCCATTTTTTAAATAACTTTTATTGAGCAAAAAAACAAACAAACACCAAAATCTGGAAAGAAACAGTTATTTAAAACAGAATTTGCATTACAACACTCCTCGATACGTATGCGCTTACAAGCAAGCCCACAGCTGCTGTGCCCTGGCGAGATAATTAGGCAGATGGGCGCGCAGAACTCTTACCAACTGGCACATCGGGAGTGATGCCCATGCTCTGCAGCAGCGCTTCAGCCTCTCGCCGTTTCTTCTCCAGGTCAGAGTCATCGGGGGGAGGAGCTGCATCCTTCTTCTGATCGGCCTGAGCGGACAGAACAGCGCATCTCAGCACAGCGAGGCGGCGTGGAACAGCGCTCTGCCCTCAGGGTTCCCAGGAGCCACCAGGCGCATTCCACCGAGGGGCAGATTTATCGAGACTACCGACCGTTTTGTTTCTTCCGTAGTGACTAGTAAGGCGCTTACACCTGGGGTGCTGCCTGTGTGGGGTTTGCGTGTTCTCCCCTGTGTTCTGGTGGGTTTCCTCCAGGTGCTCTGGTTTCCTCCCACAGTCCAAAGACATGCTGGCAGGTGAATTTGCTGCCTGGAAAACTGGCCCTGGTGTGAGTGTGTGCCTGTCTGTGTTTGTGTCAGGGGGAGCCCTGTGATGGACTGGTGTCCCATCCAAGGTGTATCCTGCCCTGCTCCCATTGCTCACCGGATTTGGCTCAGGCTATCCTGCAATCCTGAATTGCATGAAGCTGTTAGAAACTGGAGGGCTGGATAGTGACGAGCACAAGGGAAGACAGGAGTTCTTCAAAGAGGAAAAGCCTACTCCAGAAATGACAAAGGAGGTCACAACGCTGCAAAGTCAATTATTTCTCTCCGAGTCGGTGACAAAACGCTGACAACACTGAGGTGACAGTATTTCTTTCCCATTCTCACGAACGTCCACCATTCAGACTTTAAAAACTGCCAAAAGGTTTCGTGCCATCAGAAAGGGAAGTCATTAGAGGCACCACCAGTGGTGTGCTGAGTGGGTGCAGTGGCAGCTTGCACCGCAATGCTGTCTTTAATTAACATGAATCACTGCGAAGGACCAGCAGGGCGAAGTGTTCTCCAGGCCGCGGCCCTCTGGGTGGGGGACCCACCTCTTTCTTCTTGCGCTCCTCCTCTTTCCTCTTCTTCTCCTCCCTGATCTGAGCCAGGCGCTGCTTCTTCCGCTCCAGCTCGGCCTTCAGCTCGCTTTTGTCCGACATGGCGCCACACCTGGGAAGGCGACAGCGCACACGGGGGAGAATCAGCGCGAGGATCGGGAGGAACGGCAAAGCACGCCGCCCAAGAGGTTCGTCGTTCTGATCGGCCCAGAAGCCTGAAGCATCTAAGAAGCCCAGATCTGGTTCCAAAAATACTGTGGCACCAAAAATACTTTCCCACATGAATTCTAAGTCATAATAGGAGGTTTGTTTTAATGACGTTCTGGCTAATGAACGGCCCATTCTTCCTTTCTATGCTGGGAACTGCAAGAGATCATCAGACAATCATTCACTCCAATGGGCCAATTTGCTCTGGGTTACTGCACTGCCTAGATCTGAACAGATTTCTGTTCTCGGGCTTAAAGCTCATCCGCAAGGTTAAAGAAGGATCACCGAGAGAAGCATCGTTATATCAGATACGCCCCTTGAAAAAGATACAGGCGAGGTCTACGTCAACCAGCACAGAAATAAAAAAACACTCCGCTTCTTGATTCAGGCAGAGCATTCAGCTCTCTAGCGCTGCAACACACGTCTACATAAGAATTTCTGCTACAAAGAAAAAAAAACATCATAACTCCTGCTGTATTCAGAGAAAAGACTATTCTGTTAACCAGTGAGTTCTCCATCGCTCACATTTAAAAGTTCTCAAGGTGGCTCCTGGGTTCTTGAAATCTAGGAAGGCTCAAGAGCGCCCCCTGGTGCCCAAACCATTCCCCTTGCTCCTTCCACTTATCCCCACTGACAGCGGGCTGAGAGTGCACAGGTGGCCAGAGAAATCACCGCTGAGTTTCCTGTCTTAAATGGCTCCATTCAGATTCTTTTGTCTGCACTGCTTTAGCCTCCAGCTAAATAATATCTCCTTAAGGGATTAGATGCGTATTGTGAACAGAGGCATTGTCTTTTCTCCAACAGAATTTGAACAGCCCAAATCATGAGGCACCATCTGACCTTTTCAGCATCATGTATACTGTCCAGCTCGTTTTAATTGCCAACGTTGCTGAAAACATAATTAATCTGATTCTAACAAACCACTGAATAAATACACTCAAAGAGGTATCATCTGTAAAACCCTATTAAATAAAACTACTACTACTAATAACACATTTTAAGACTTATATTTACTCAAGATTTAGATGACTGTCCCTCCCAGTCATAACACGATAAATATTGCTAAACTACAAACACACCTGTTTGTTTTAAAAATAACGTTACTTATATTACGCAAACACTGTAAGATAAGATTATTAACACAGCAGACAGAACCTAAGCGCTGATGAACCTTTTTTATTCCCCCATTTTAAACCCACAATCCAAATCATCTGGCCTCTGTGAACGACAATCTGTTTAACATGTAAGCAAATGATCTTTTTGAGAAATCCCCCAACATGACCATCCACAAATGATGTCCTAATCTCTTTAAACTTCAGTAACAGATCTCTCCAGACCCCTTGAAATACACTTTAAAATCCAACTGTCCCCAAAAGGAGACTGGAGAATGAACAGCAAAGTTAGGATTTCTAAAAGCAGATGGCAAGTGGATTCATTCCAGGGTTTTTTTTCCACGCAGTTTAATTCTCAATTGGCCCCGGTGACTTCTCAAATCAGGGTTTATGCTGCTGTTTAGGAGATTAATTGTGCGATGCAGGATGAGGGCTTTGCCACATTCATCCTCTCTGCAAAGATTTCTTTATTTTTTATCCAAAAAATGTAAATCGGACAAGAAGACAGGCTGTCTGTCATGGACACAAAGGCCAGGCCTGTAGCTCTGGATTTTGGTTTTGGAGAAACTCACTGTGGTCCCTGTACACAAATAAAGCACGACAAGTAGAACAGGTACTGGAAACACCTAAGGCATTCCATGCATCAAAATCAGTTGTGCCATTTTATCATCTGAAGTTGAGTCTGAGAGTTTTCTGTCTTTCAACAACCTTGCAGAATAAGAAACACAAAACAATGTCGATATATGCATTACAGACAGGACATGGACAAACAAATTGAGGTCTTTACTCATTTACTAGCCACAATACAAAAGTCAACCTTAAAAATTAAAAGGTTATACTTTTCTTATCATCATACAAACCCCAGAACAAGAACTAATAACACACACTAGGCTCTGTTATTTACAAACAGAGCTGCAGAAATCTCAAATCACACCGCTATAGTTTACAGCATTTCCACAGTTTGCAGCCCACTGCGATGAATGTCTCTCATTTGACAAAGACATGCTGCTTTCTATTAATGTTGAATGGCAATAGGTTGGCCACAATATGTAATCTATAACAACCACAATAATAACAATGACAATAACAGAATGGTACTCAATACTAAAGTAATGTTACAAACTAATATTGTAGTAAGACCCCCTATCCCCCAAAATGACCATTTTCTTCAAGAAATGGTTGGAATATAATAAACACTGGTGGTAGTAAAGAAATAAGGCTGAAAAACTGTAATTCAGGATAGTTAAAGCAAGTACTGTGCATGCTGAGGTGGAGGAGAGATTGTACTTTCAGGTTTTTCTAAATTACATCCATACAAGTACTGTTATGAATTATTATTTATTAATATCACACAAAAACACAAATAAAAAAACAACAACAACCAGCCAGTCAGCATAGCCCTGGAAGGTGGGAGAGAAACCGGATCAGCTCGAGAAAACCAACACAGACCAGAAGAGACCATGCAAACTCCGCACAGAAGGTGCCTGAGCCCAGATTCTAGCTCGGACTCGAGATCAGTGAAGCAGCAGCGTCGTGCCGCCACACAGCGACGCCTTTGGCCAACCTGGCGCGACGCTACATTTGCTTTTCGGGGCGCTCCGTCAGACGGGAGGATTATATTCTCCCGGGCCAGAACGGTTCCCAGACCAGTTTTAAACACATGATGCTCAATGGCGGTTGGATGAGGCCACGGCCGAGCATAACGTACTTGCGTGTCAAGGAACCTTTCAGGTAGCCACCAGCCACGGGGGGATATTAGAGGGTGAGAAATGAAAGAAAACTTATTTCATAAGAAATTCGAAAACGTGGGAACAGGCTGTTCCTACTCTTCCCATCAAAGACGATGAAATAATGACGCAAACACACACACACACACACGAACACTCGCCGAGAGCTAATTTTCCCAAACCAAATTTTCTGACTTGAATTACTGTCATACAATCCTGCACACCCATGCCACCTGTGTGGGGAACAAGCCACAGTCAAGCTGATCGGTGTTACAAACATAAATCCCCAAAATGAACTGGGGTCAATTACTGTCATCACTGGCATCATTTAAGCACTGACTGGGGCGAACTACACGAAAAGGACACGGTCGTAGTTGATCAGACGTTTAAAGCGTGGAGGTCAATTGAAAGTTCATATTATTTCGACGCCGGGAGAAGCGTTTCTGGAGTGCTTCGTGCATGATCAAGTGTGCCCCACCCGTCTCCATCTGACAATACAGAGCAAACTCCGGGACATGTCAGCAACGACCGCTTCCAAACCGGACAAAGAGCGAGCGGCAAGTGCCTTTCTGTGACCACCGCCATCGCCAGGGTGTTGCGGCGGAGACCATCTTAAAGTGCCACTCGTTTTTGACAAGAAAAGGCGAAGGGCTGACTGTCACTGCGACCGCTTTTGTCGTGAAATAAATAATTAAATGCATCCAATCCCGGTGAGCCACCGACCCGGCCTTCTGCGGCTGGGAGTAGATGTCAAATAAAACAGTTCCTACGACAGCAAAGACGCTTATACCATGTGGAGCTTCTTAAGAATAGTTGCAGCCAGATTATGTTAATATTAATATTCGTGGCTGGGCACTAACCTGAAAGAGTTCCCTGGATTTTACCGTCAAAACCCCGTCCAGCTATGAATAAACTGCCTTCCCCTTTACCGTGTACACAAAGATGGAGAAGAACTACGGCCACTGCCGAAGGACATACAGGCTCTGGCGAACTCAAAAGAGGATCCCGTTCAGTGGGATCTGGCGCGCCCCCTTGTGGCCATGAAAACGTCTGACCGCACCCCTATCTCACCTTTTCGAAACCAAAGGGACAAAATTATTTCCATCTGTAGTGAATACATAGCGTGTTATCTAGTCTTCAGGCGTGTGCAGTCCACAGATCAGAGTTGTGTTATAGAATGAGTTTTGGTAAGGAAAGGCAATGGAAAAGTCCATTAAAAGGCGACCCAGAGACAACAATAACAAGTAAGAAACATTGTAAAGTAAGTCATATATAATCATGGAAATTGTTAAATCAAACGAACAAACCAAAGAAGCTGTAAAAGGTTTGTTTTTGTAAATGTTGCTAAAGTCGTACCGTAAAGTATTATTACTGTAGCTATATTATTGCCACCAATCTGGAAGAAAGATGGCGCTTCTCAGAAAACTGAAACACGGACTCAGCCTGTTCCCTCTTCCCAATAACGTATCTTGTCAATTTTTGTTAACATTTTTGTTAGGTTACGCAATGACAGAAAATACCCGAAGACATTAAGGTTTATGTCAGTTCAATAAGCATCATTTTGGCTGCTGTAAAGATGAACAACTTCCAAGACACAAAGCACATCTGAGCCCAAATTTCAATCCTTCTCATCAGCACAACCTTGAAAATCCAGGTATTTAAAACATATAAGGAAGCAACACATTATATTATTTACTTTGTCCACTTGTCAAAAGAGGAAAAAGTCAAGTTAAAAAAAATTACTGCCTGGGAACAGTGTGAAACAAAAAAAGTGCTCTGTCTTAGGAAAGCTCCCTATCACCTTGTCTGTTTGCAGACAACTCTCTAGCAAATAATCCAGAAGGAGCAACACCCCCTCACCCCCATCAAAAAAATAAACAGTTAGATTCTGAGATAAGTTTTTTTAGAAACAGTAATTATTCCTTCTAATGAAAAAATAATTGAATTGCTATGTATAAATGTACATATATCATATACAGTATCATACTGTATATATATATATCATATATCATTTATCATATGTTGGATATATTTTGGAATCAAATACTATATAAACCAGCAATAGAACATGCAGGTAGTTGTACAGCCTGTATATATTGTGGCATGGGGTCTACAAGCCTCTGGTGTTCTACAGGAGGGATGTGGCACCACTCTTCCATGGGAAAGTCAGGCTGGGTTGATGGAGGTGGAAAACGTGGAGTCAGGCCTCCTTTCAGAATGTCCCATAAATTCTCAAATGGGTTCAGACCTGTTGACTGAAAAGGGCATGGCAGGTGCATAACATCAAGCCTCCATGCTGCGCAGATGGGAGCATTTATTAATTTCTTAACCGAAGTTACGATCACATGCGTTTTACTACATACGGCATATTCACTACTTGTTTTGCAAAGTCCCAGCCATTTTTTTGCCAATTCACTGCAGGAATTGCTCTTGGTAGATCTGAACTGGACACCAAACCATGGCATCGGGAAACGTGACGCACCCATTCGCTTTGTTAGCCTGAGGCATGGTGATGAGGTGTTCACTGCTGCTAGTTTGCAGGTTCTGCTCATGGGAGAGTGGCTTCCTACTGGTGCTCCGATATCTTACCACCTTCCAGAGACCTCGGGACTAGGCTACTCTAAACCGCACTGTTGTGTGTGTCTGCCCTGAACAAGATGGGTGTCCTATCTAGGACGAAGTCCCTCCTTGCAGTCTGTGCTTCTGGGATAGGCATAGGGTTTCGGCAACTCTTACGAAGTGGCTTTCTGATAATGGATAGATGGATATTTTAAGATTCCATTTGCATAGACAATATGAGCTGCACATCATGTCATGCCTGAATTCAGCAGAAGACTAGTGCACAAAAAGTAGTACCTAAAAAGAGACGAGCCCTTTGTTTAAACAGGTGTAAAATAGAAGAGGATTCCTCAATATCCCTTCTATTCCACCATAATAAAAATGCAAATAGCCAGATGTGGTTTTAAGTATGTCGTCCCACTGGCATTGAAAGAGTCATTACAGAGTTCGCTGAGAAGGCAATTCCTTCATTTAAATTCACTCCAGGATAAACATGCCACAGTATTACAGTGAAGAAGGGGTTCTAGCCTTATAACTGCTTATTGACTGTAACCTTGAGGTTTTGTGACTGATTGAAATCCTAGGTGATTTACCAGACTCTATGATGAACACACGACCGTCTCTCGTTTTTGGAGGGCAAGACAAGCATTTTGGACCCCACTATTTTTTTCTCCTAGGAAAATTTCAATTGAGGGTTTTCATATCCTTTGGGATATTAAATGGACTCATCTGTGTGATTCCCGAATTGTGATATGTTTGACATCCTCTGTCCGTGAGCTAGAGTCGGAGCGATCCTTTCATTTTAATGGAGTCTTTTATACAATATTGAGTTGTACAAAATGAAATCACCACAATTCAGCTCACGGCGAGATATCAAAGGTCATGAATTGAAATCACTTCCTAATATAGACAGCATTCTGTATCTACAGTATAGCTAATTTCTGGAGGACATGTCCACATAGAGTGATTCAAAAACAAGAAAAGTTCCTTAGAAGATGATACTGAAAGGACAGCAACCAGATTATTATTAGTCTACAATTTAAGTAGGAACCAAAACCATATCAAAACAACAAAATATTGCTTACACATGTAAATAAATCTCCAACAGAATTTGCTGATATTAGTGCAGCTGGAGAATATCTAAAAGGAGTAGTATGAGGTTTATCTACAATCAAGACTCCATAATGTTAAAACTAATTGAAAGTGATAAATTCAAACTGTGTGTTGGGATTAGCCAGGCTGAAAGAAAGCCATCGGATAATTTGACAGACTGTGTTCCTTCATTTAGAAATTTCTTACTTGTCAAACAGTAAGTTTTCAGAAAAGCTGCAGAATTAATATTCCTAAAACATTTGTTTTGATCAATTAAGATGGAAAGCAGATGCATTTTAATTCAATTACTCTGTCAGTGCACTTGACAGGAAAATTAAATGGAAATGAGAAAACTCGTGAGTTGAAATCATCTGAGACACAGCCAGTGTGTCTCAGCATGAGAGTCCATGTGCCCCCAGCACAATGAATAGAATTAACGTCGCAAATGTTGAGCTCACCCTTTCTATTCTTATTTTTTTATATTTCACAATGTATTACTTTCTAGAAATGAAAGCTGTATCTTTACTCAAAATATACCACATCCTAGAAGTGAAAGGTGCATCTTTATTTTGGAATCCAGAACATCACAGGGCAATTTTTCCAGGTGATCAGTGATATACGATATACGGAATTACATTTATCTCATCCAGAAATAATAAAGTAGGACCTCACAAGGCAAAATACTCTTTTTCTTCAGTTTTTCAAATGTATGACATTTGAATGCATTACAGACAGTGGTCCTCAGAATGTGTCAGGTCAAGCGCCCGTGCTCTTAGCTCACAATTTGATTACTTGAGCTGTCATTCACAACCGAAGAAACCCATTGCATTTGTAGGCTTCTTCCAAACACAGCAAAATCTCTTGTTGCTAAGATAATCAAGCTTTATATTGGAATCGCCGTGTATTGCTGATAATTACTTCCTTATATATTTTTAAGTGAATTTAAAAGAGTTCAAAAGAGTTACCCTGCAACTCACAACTCATTGAAGCTCAGCAGGTGTGAGCCTGGTCAGTACCTGGATGGGAGACTCCTGGGAAAAACTAAGGTTGCTGCTGGTAGTGGTGTTAGTGGGCCAGAAGGGGGTGTTCACCTTGCGGTCCACATGGGTCCTAATGCCCCCAGTATAGTGACGGGGACACTATGTTGTGAACAGGTGGTGTCCTTTGCATTAAACATGAAATCGAGGTCTTGACTGTCTGTGGTCAATAAAAATCTCAGGGCTTTTCTCGAAACGAGAAGGGGAGGTACCCCGCCATCCTGGCCAAATTTCCAATTGGCCTATTCCTTTATCAATCATAGCCTCCTAATAATCCCCTTCTCTGAACTGGCTGCATTACTCTGTTCTCCTCCCCACTGATAGCTGATGTGCGGTGAGCATACTGGCGCACTATGGCTGCCGTCACATCATTCAGGTGGGGGCTACACACTGGTGGTGGTGGTGGAAGGGAGTCCCCATTACCTGTTAAGCACGGAGTGTTTGACTGGAGTGTCCAGAAAAGCGCTATATAAGTGGAAGGATTTTTTTTATTATTCTTATTATTACTATATTACTGTTATTAGTTTTCTACTAATCACTTCACCGTCTCTCTGGAATGAATGTTTGAACCTTTCCTTTACTCTCAGCCCTTTCTGTACCTTTCTAGGTACTCTCTTCTCGTGGTTCCTGCTGTCATTTATCTTATTTAATTTATTCACTCCTGTGTATACTGGTTGACATCGACTACAAGTAAAAGACGGGTGAATCATGCTGTCTGGGGTGCTTAGCCTTCTTCAGGTGTCGCCTGCAGTCAACCCACACTGACGCACCTCCCCATCCAATATCTCCTATAGAAACATCTTTCTGTTAATTCGCACTTGGTGGAAATTGACTCACGACACGGGTTATTTTTCTAATTTATTATTAGATCATGTTATTGTTCACTCCTTCATTTGCTGTATTACACATTCTGCACCTTGTGTTCTGCTGTATTTCTCATTCAGCAGGCTGGACTCCATCACTGTCTTATTCAAAACATGCTATGTATAGCACTATGTAAATCATTCTAATGTTATATAAATGACCATGAATAAAGCTATCAATTAAGTAATGTTCCCTAAAGGATTCAGACCAGAAAGATACTGTCAAACCCTGAAAAAGCCCAGGACTAGAGCTGTCCTAGTACCCTTTACTATTTGCTTTGCTTTAAAATATCATTGATTATCCATTTACTATTGCAAATACTATTAGTTATCATTTAATATCTGAGATGGTTAATACACCAGTCTTCATCATTAGATTATGTTTGGTAGTGTTGAACACTTCAAAATAAGAACTC